GACAGTAATGGAACAAGGCTTCTGTAAATGATGAGTCTTTATATGCTGGTCTGAGGATTTCTTGGCTTTTGCTCAGTGTATGTGTGTGTGTGTGTCTGTGCATCGCGGAGCACGTGCCTGCCAGTGGTGCAGAAGGGGATAAGAACTGATAGCTCTATATATAGAAGTATATGTATGTGGAGGCTTATGACTGAACTGTGCAGCAGAATGGAGGCTTCTCACGCATACTAGCGAGGGTTGCGTATGCTGCTCCACGCACGCCACCTATTATCTCCGGGTGTGTATTCAATATTTTTGAGGATCAGGCTTTAAACACTCAGAGTCAGGTACGTGTGGTTTTGCACGCCATTGGTGTAGCTTGAACAGCTATAAAGGAAGGGGGGAGGTGGGCTGAAGACCTTAACAGCTGACTATGTGTGTGTGAAGGATGGTGTCAGGCCCGAAGCCATCGGACTCCCATCACCATCATGGTTGCCCTGATATATAAGGATTGTGCTTTTGTGTAACAGGACACATTATTCAGCGTGTGTGTGTGTGTGTGTGTGTGTGTGTGTGTGTGTGTGTGTGTGTGTGTGTGTGTGTGTGTGTGTGTGTGTGTGTGTGTGTGTGTGTGTGTGTGTGTGAGAGAGAGAATATACTGCATCTACTGTGATAGTGTGTCCCTTCTTTCTTCATTTTCATCTATTTCTATTTCAAGGCTAACTGTGTTCCTGTCATGTTATTTTGTAGTTTGACAAAAAGACGCCCAATTCAACCAATTTAACCAAATTCAGAAAAGAAAATGGATCACCTTTTTATTTTGTATTTACTATAGTCTTTTCATTCATGCAGTACATCCATCATATCGTGCATGGATACGTTCGGGATACTCATTGTGGAGGCCACTGGCAGATCATCTTCATTGTTTAACAACTGCAGGAATCATACGTTTTTATAAAAAACTGTTGTTTCAGCAGAAAGTGCAGCGTTAAGCCAATGATGCAGTAAAGCACTCGCTACAGGGTGACGACGTTGCTGCATTTGGTATATTAGATGCTCTCTTAATGACATTGATGTATCCAGCTCTAATATGTTTGTGAGAAGAATCATTGGCTCTTACAACCACAATCAAGTGCAGCAAGCCTTGCAGCTATATACCGAAATAAACATGCAAAGCATGTCATTTTCTGATTGGTATTTTCACCCTTTTGTCCTCTGCTTACTGTTGGACCCACAGCAGAAGGCCGGCCTGTGACTTTGGGACATGGGATTTTAGAGAGGTGGGCGTGGAGGAAGAGGAGGGAGGAATCCGCAAAGATTAACTGTAAAATTGACTGTAGGAGAACGGTCACCTCTCGCCGCAGATTAAACTGACTCACAAGGACGGGGCGCTTAGGGGCAAGACCGTCCTGTGACAAGATATTTTACTTGGAATTCAAAGTGATGATCCCCTTACGTGTATTAAGGGTATTTTCTAAATCCCTGCCAATGTGTAATTGGATATTGTAATACTAGGCGGAGAAAAAGTTCTAATACGTTTTTTTTAAAGGTGACATCATTAATTATGTAACTATGTTTTGAATGGCTGCCCTGCGCATGTGTGTTCTTGGCTGGCTGAGCGATGACGTACTTCTTCATAACTTTAAATGGACACCAGATGATCCAAACGTTTCAGGAGATCGGCGGCCGTCAGCTGCTGTTTGAGTTTGTTATTAGCAGCAAGCTGCATGATCAAGAACCAACCCTCTTTCTATGAGCAACCATCACATCTCTGCGTGTGCAGATTTCACTAATAATAAGTACGCAGCAGATTAAGACATCATATACAATTTGTTCCTGGATTGAGGTTTTTCGTCTTTCCATTGTTGACAGTTTGTTTTTTCCTCCTCTTTGCGCCTCACTCCCTCCGGCCAGCACGAATTGTTGGCCTATGACGCAATCCCTCGTCCCTGCAAGTTTCCCCGGCCAATCGGAGCGCGGCAGTCGGAGGGTATCCAGTCAGCCCTCCCTTGAAGACAGTACTGACAGGAGGAGGGACTTTCAATTTACTGTACCAACCCCCCTGTTGTCATCCCGCTTCAGCCTATTTCACTGCGTGTGTTTTCGGGCGTGTTGTGTTGGAAAAAGTACAAAAGTCGACAGAAGGAAAAAGGAAAAGGAAGACGAGCCAGCAGGGCCCGGGGGGGGAAGTGTGCGTGCGTGCGTGAGTGAGTCAGGGATCACAGAGCTGCCATGGATGAATTCTGAATTGTTCTTCTCCACACTGCTGACAGTAGGTAGTCTTTTTTTTGTGTATTTGTCCTCCTACGTCACACAACTTTACATTATCAGCTGAGCTGCCACTAGAGAGGAGCGTGTGAATTTGGTTGTTTGTCTGAGCTGCTGCGCAGGTGGGTGAGCGTGATCAGAAGGTCTGATACTTTAACCGCGTTCATTCCTGTCTTCGTCAAACTGTCCGCCTCGCCGTCCCCCTCTTCCTCTTCCTCTCTATGAACCGGGAAGGAGACCAGTCACCATTTCCTGCCCCCCCCCCTTCTTCATTTACACATCTGTCTTGTAAGCAATACGCACGAGCTGTGAGGTTCCTATCGTACGAGAAAAAACTGCAGCAGAGGTTACGGTTGTAAATGAGAAAACGGACACTTTTTATATTCAGTTATTCCAGAGGTGAATGGACTCATTGTGTGTTGACTCTGCGGGAGTGATCTCACTTGCTATTACTGCACATTTAATGGCCGAGAGAATCACAACACGTTTCATTTCGGTGGCATTAGTTGACAGCTCTCTGCAGTCCTGCATGGGCTCGGCTTTCATCCCTGGCTGCTGCCTGTAACCGCAGAGCGAGCGATCAGTGCGTCTTCACCCAGTCTTTAAATTACCCCAACAGTTAACAGTTAAATGGTCACGGATGCTTTAGAGCTTAAAATCGAAGAACTGTGGCCTACTTAGGAATTTAAAAGAGCGTTAAGGAGGCGTGTCAAAACACAGTTTATTGAATGCATGTAAGTGTAAACATGCTAATTATCGGCAGGAATTCACGTGCACGCATGCGTGCGTCTTTGAACTTCATTGTAAGGCTGGCACTTTGCAAACACCAATGACTTTCATGCATCAGCTGAACAGTAAATTGGAAGGAAACTATGGGGCGCCGTTTGTAAAAGTTTTGCTATATTTAGCATTATCATATGAACAATATTCATATGTCACTTTTTCAAACATTTAGAGAGAAATTCATGTAAATTCATGCAATAACCTTTCCAGGGATAATGTTTGGCAGTAATACAAAGTTGTTAAATAATATAAATGTAATGTAATGTAAATGTTAAATATAAATGTTAAATATAAATATAAATGTTAAATGTAAATGTTAAATGTTCACTCTACATATGCAAGGATCGCCGAGGATTTGACCGTGCGCCTGTGACCCCCCACATTGACCGCAACGGTGAGGGGGGGGCATGGGCGCGGATGGTCGCGGTCAGTGGGGAAGGGTCACGGGACTTTCCAGCTTGTCTTGCGGTGGCGTGAATTACCGTAAGTATTGTAATGTTTAGTCGCCAAGTCTGATATGTAGAGTGAACAGTTAACATTTACCATTTATATTTATATTTAACATTTATATTATTTAACAACTTGTTACTGTCATTATCCTTGGAAAAGCTACTGTCTGAATTTACATGAATTTCTCTCTAAATGTTTGAAAAAGTGACATGAATATTGTTGTGCTTTTTTCTTTTTTTTCATGTGATAATGCTAAATGTACCAAAACTGCGCAGGCGCCCCATAGGAAACTACCTTTTTCTACATCACATGCGACTTACTTGGAACAGATGGTCAGAGCTTATATGCCTCTTTTTTTCATCTCGATGATTTGTGACCGAATTCTTATTTGGGATTTACAGCAGTACAGTATCATCGTGCTATAGCACTTTACGGTACACCCTGGAGCTGATCCCTCTTTTAATTTGAATCTAAATCCAATCTCGCCTGTCCCTCACTGGAGTGTGGATGTGACATGGCCTTCTCATGGCTGGCAGCTCCAGAAGTGACCTTTACCCTCTCAGTCTACAGGCTGTACGTCGTTGGATTCTTTGGGTGTATGTGTGTGCCGTTTGTGTGTTTGTGCGCAGTGGGCGACGACAAACAACAGGACACTCGAGCTAGATGGTCCACGGGGGGATTTAGATCTGTATTAGACCCAGCAGTGACAGATGTCAGTGTCCGGGGGGAGGGGGGGTGGGAAGATGAAAATCAATATATTTGTGGGAGTTGTTGTGTCTTGCCTTGTCACTGAGTGTGAAATATTCATTCCCACTTTATATCCTGAGGCAGTAGATGTTTGTTGTGAGTCACATGCAGAGAATACACTCACAAATACACACTCGCAAATGGCATGTGTACTTTTTGAATGTCAGACTGGATATTTTTCCATATACCAGATCTTCTAACTTGATATACACAGTGTCGGTAGGTATCAATGAGAACATGGCGTGGTGGCAGCTTGAACATACTTAAGTTATTATTATGCCATTATGTGTTCAGGCTTGCACTAATAAAAGTAGGCCAAGTTGAAGCACCGGTTTGTGTTGCTGGGCAGAATATCCAAACCTTGCAGCTGTATTTCTGGAATAGACGAGTCAGCTCACAGTTTTGCTACTATTTAAAACTGACACGAATATGACCGTTTTAATTAACTGGTATGGATTTGTTAAAAACTGTCCTTTTATTTTACTGCTCTGTGGTCATTTCAAATGTTGATCAAATGTTTGACACAGAGCCACTTGGTCTTCATCTGCTGCTGTACGGTCAGAACTGCTTCTATTTCACTCAACTGGCTTTCGTTTGGTTTGACCTCCAAAACAAAACCATTAACAATGGACACATTATACTGTAATAAAGTAAATAAGCGGCTTTGGTAACTTTGGTTCCTCGTGCCTGCTGTGGTATGTTTACGAAACATTAGAAAAGTGACACCCGCTCACTTTTGAACATTTCGTGTTTTCATTTCCGTGTGTCTGCAGGTTAACGTCTGTCTCTGTCCGGGGCTTTAAATGTCCTCTGCCATGGAAAAGCTGGAGGCTGGGAGCAGCAGCCCTGTTGTGCGACAGATAGACAAGCAGTTTCTGGTCTGCAGCATCTGTCTGGATCACTACTCCAACCCCAAGGTCCTGCCCTGCCTGCACACCTTCTGCGAAAGGTAACGAACTTTGCTGCTTTCTGTTTAAATGACAATTGTCAAAGGTCCTAATTATTGCACACGAGCTGGACCCAAGTGGCTGCTACACGTAACTTTTGCTGAGCCATGTAAATAAGGGGATGAAAGACTGAAGCTTTTGCTGTCAGTTCTTACCCTCCCATCCTTTTACTCTAGGTTTTCTGTCATATTTACACGTCTCCTGCGAGAGTGACCTTCTCTATTGCAAATCCTCGTCCACAATTAAACAGCCTAGAGCACTTTTCTTCCCCGACTTGACTGCGATACATTAAGTGCATTCCGCAGCATCGGGGACCATTAGCGTCCACAAAAAGACTGATTGTTGGAGGACACAGTTACAATTCTTCAAACTACAGCCTAGGAAAGAAGACACCCCCTCTGGCAATACTTACCGGGCCGAGCAGAAGGGACATTTGCAAAGCTTTTTGTGTGTGTGGTTCAGGGTGGCCAGATGGATAACGAAGGGGGAGGGGGCATGTTGTTAGGTTAAAGATCCTAACTGGCAGTATTATTCTAAACCTACGATGACTCAACTACTTCTGAATGGCCACACAGGCTACTAGATGGGTGCTTTTTCCAGGCAGCATTGGGGGCATTCGCCCACCGGAGGGCAGATTTAATCCCCGGTTTAACTGGGTGACATGTGATCTGGAGCCCTGCTGAGGTGAACAGATTTGTGTCTGGAGCTACACATCATGTTGTCAGACAGATGTTTTAGTACTGGAGGGCTTTAAGGGCTGAGCTGGCGAACCCCATGCTGGGTCTGTTTGCTCCGGTTTTGTGTCTCTTTTGATTCTGCTCCCCTTCTCCCCCCGTACAGTAGTGATAATCCTGGTTGTGTGCTCATTTTCCAAGGATCAGTGTTAGCAATGGGTTGTGCAAATGTGGCAAAAATAAATGACTTCCCCCTACAATAGGTGCATTCGGCCTAATGTGCTCCTACTGTATAATAACATAATAGTACATAAATACAAGTGTGTTAATCGAGGCTTTGGAGCGTTGGAGTGGTGCTGATAGTGCAGCGACAAAGCGAACAAGTGCACTTTACTAAGGCCTGGTTGATACGAGTCCTTCTGTGGTGATAAATTAAACCGAATGGTGTCAGCATGCAGCCAAAGCAGCTTTTAAGATTGACACTTAAACACTTGTTTTTTCTTTCTTGGTTGACTCCCTCTCTCCAGTTGTCTGCAGAACTACATTCCCCCAGAGTCCCTGACGCTCTCGTGCCCAGTGTGTCGGCAGACTTCTATTCTGCCGGAGAAAGGAGTCGGCGCTCTACAGAACAACTTCTTCATCACTAATCTCATGGAGGTTTGACCCTTTATCTGGTTTTGAATTCAAGTCAGACACAAATATGTCAGAAACAGGATGTTGAAGTGCGTTACGTGGAGCAAAAGACAAAACACAGCTGCCTTAACAGTAACGATTATTGAAGATGTCTATAAATGGAACTCAAGGACGTGGGGGAGAATGTGTGTGTTTTACTGATTCACTGCTGTTTTTGTTGGACACTATTTGTGTTTACAGAGGAAGAACATTTTGGGTCATTTTTTTTTTTTAGCATTTGCTTTGTAAGCGAGATTGCCTGTTGCCGTATACGGGTGATGTTTAAGGTTACTTTTAGGTCATAGGGAAGGAATGTATGGAAAGTTGATACTGTTTTTATTTCCTAAATAGAATGGTCAGCAGATCATAAGGGCAAGGAACAAACCATCCACAGTCCATAACTAAGCACATAACTATCTTACAAGTCTATTTGAAAAACTGAAAAGCAATATAATGAAGTTTAAAATGTCAACCAGGTCCTTCAACGAGACCCACAGTGCTCACGGCCGGAGGACTGCGGTGTCCTGGAGTCGGTGAGCGCTGCAGCGGCAGTGAAGCTCCTCTGCTGCCCAAACCACGAGGGAAAGGTAGGAAAGCACCTCTGTGGCGCCTCAGTCCGCTCATCATCCACCCAAACTTGGCCCGGCTTTCTAATTTCTTCGCAATAATGAACTAAAAAAAAACAAATCCTCCCATCACACCCCTGCAACGAGCTTTCTTACACAGTTTGTCCCCCTCTGCAGGTGATGGAGTTCTACTGCGAGTCGTGTGAGACGGCTATGTGTCTCGACTGCACGGAGGGCGAGCACAGGGAGCATGTGACTGTTCCGCTGCGTGACGTGGTGGAGCAGCACAAAGCTGCTCTGAAGACACAGCTGGATGCCATACTCAGCAGGTTATTACGCCATACCTGGATAAAGATTTCAGAATGTTTCCCTCGCATCAGGCGTTATGAGGCTTAAGCGTTTGACGGCGATCTTGCACGTGCCTGCGAAGAGTCCCAGTTTAGCTTTATAGCTGATAATGAAGATAAATGTCACGCTGTGCTCACTTTCAGGCTTCCTCAGTTAACCGCATCCATCGAGCTGGTGACTGAGATCTCCCGCCAGCTGAACGAGAGGAAGAACGAGGCGGTGGCAGAGATTACCAGCACGTTTGATGAGCTGGAACGAGCGCTGCATCAGCGCAAGACGTCCCTCATCACGGACCTGGAGCTCATCTGCAGCACCAAGCAGAAGGTGGGTGTTTGTCACATATCTGATCCGCGAGGCCGGAGTCGCATCATCCTCCTTGCGCTCATCTTGCCACTTGGGTCAAGTTCCTGTCAACGTGGTTCAGCCCCGCTGACTTCTCTCCGCTGACCCGACCGCAGGTCCTGCAGACCCAGCTTTCATCGCTCCTTCAGGGGAAGGAGCACATCCAGAGCAGCTGCAGCTTCACGGAGCAGGCGCTTAGCCGCGGGAGTGCTACTGAGGTGGGCTGGCGGGTTGTGATATCTCCAAACGGACTACAGGTTCCAACACCTACGAGAATCCGCTTGTGTTTGTGTTGTGGCGTGTGTGTGTAGGTGCTGCTGGTTCAGAAGCAGATGAGTGAGCGGGTGACGGCGCTGGCCAGACACGACTTCCCAGAGAGGCCACATCAGAACGCACACCTGGACTGTCAGGTGATTCCCTCACGCAAACAATTTCTATACTCCCACATGGTCACAGTGTTTTTGGTTGTTGGAACTAATAGTTGCCAGTTGATGTATGAAGTTAGTTTTAAACCTTGCGGGTGTTTTAAAATGCATTTTTGTAATGCAGTAAAATTCACCGGTGATTTTATAACTGCATAGAATGTTTGTAAATGCAGGTTCAACAGTTTTTTATCTTTTTTTAAGTAACAACATCCAAATATGTTTTGATGAAAATTGCAAATCCTTCATTTGAATCCACTAAAAACACTGAGCCCACCGTAAAAACCTCCCTTTCTTTTTGTCTGCTCTAGGTGGAGACTGAAGGTTTGAGGCGCTCCATTCAGAACCTGGGAGTCCTCCTCACCACAGCCGCTGTGGCTCACACCTCGGTAGCCACAGGAGAGGGCCTCCGCCACGCAGCAACCGGGCAGCACCACACCATTACTGTGACCACCAAAGACAAAGTACGCATTTAGTTTTATCTGTTTAGTTTAATCTGCCGTGTCTTTTATTTGCTTAAGCCAATTATTAAAACAAGATTCTGAACTCTTATCTTGTGCTAAAGTTGAATCAACGACTTTGTTTCTGCAGGACGGGGAGCTGGTGCGGAGTGGAAATGCCGTTTTAAAGGCTGAGCTCACGTCTGTCGACGGAGGGCGCGTTGCAGAGGCCGATGTAGCGGACAATAAGAATGGGACCTACGAGGTGGGCTACACGCTACGCTCGGAAGGGGAGTACTCTTTCACTTTGCTGCTGTACGGGCAGCCGATACGCGGCAGCCCGTTCCGACTGCGGGCGGTCAAACCCTCGGATGTGCCGCAGTCCCCGGACGACGTGAAAAGGAGGGTGAAGTCTCCCAGCGGGACGGGGGGCCACATACGGCAGAAAGCAGTGCGTCGCCCTTCCAGCATGTACAGCACCACCAAGAAAAAGGAGAACCCCATTGAGGACGAGCTCATCTACAGAGTGGGTAAGACGGATGACCCGTGTCAAACCAAGCACCATGGGACTTCTCTCAAAAGGATAATACAGTTTTAGACCAGTTTTTTTTAATGACATGCAACATATGTGGATTTATTTGTTACTTAATCGCAGGTTCCCGAGGCCGAGAAAAGGGGGAGTTTACAAACTTACAAGGAATATCAGCCTCTTGTAACGGCAGAGTGGTGGTGGCTGACAGCAACAATCAGTGCATACAGGTGAGAAAGACACAGAGAGGAAATTAAAAGCATTGAATAGGAAAATACTGTTATAGCACTGTGATTCTGTGCGACTCAAACGGGGCTGTGCGCCGGAACCATTTACAGGTATTCTCCAACGACGGACAGTTTAAGATGCGCTTCGGAGTCAGAGGTCGGTCGCCGGGGCAACTTCAGAGACCAACGGGCGTCACAGTGGACATGAACGGTGACATTGTGGTGGCCGACTACGACAATCGATGGGTCAGCATCTTCTCCTCTGACGGCAAGTTTAAGGTGAGATCTCGTGAAATATTGTCAGCTGAACAGACCCAGTACAAATCTGTGATCACATTATGTCTTTAAATCCTATTTTTTAACATTATTTTTTATGTTTTTTGACATTTGTATTGCATATTGCATTTTCATGACATACCTTACATGAATTTTTTATGGCATACTGTACTTTTTATTTTATTAATTATTAACATCCTGTCTGCAAAGAACACTCACAGTATTGTATTATTAATTACTTAACTCATATACACATATTTTTAGGTATAACCTAACACAATGTTCAAAATGGACATATATCTGTTAAAAAATATAATTTCAGTCGAGTGTTTCTATCCTTCCTTTTCAGAATAAGATAGGTGCAGGTCGGCTCATGGGTCCCAAGGGTGTCGCTGTGGACAAGAATGGACACATCATCACTGTGGACAACAAGGCCTGCTGTGTCTTCATCTTTCAATCAAACGGGAAGTTGGTGACTAAGTTTGGAGGCCGGGGGACGTCTGACAGGCAGTTTGCAGGTGAGAAGTATGAAAAGAAAGACGTCTTTTTAAGATTGACATGGCGCTCCCGAACCGGCCCGGCTCTTTTAATGACGCCGTCTGTCAGAGAGGCAGCGGCATCTTCTGCCTTCTAAAGGGAACCTGTCATGATATCAATGCATTGCATCACATTTCACATTCTGCTCAAAAATGCCTGTATATAAACAAATGCAATGCGGAGGCCCCCCTGCTGCTCCCACCCTCTGCACACGTGCGGAACACCCTACTCTATTTTCTTCTTTGCTGACCCTTTATCTCTGACTATACCGATTCTCTTTTCCTTCTTTTTGTTCTTCCTCTTTATTTTTTTTTCGATCCAGAAAAACTTTCTCCAAATGTAAATAAATCGGGCTCAATTTTCAGTAAGTACTAAGTGTGGCCTTGCTGCAACCTCACTCCCACAGTGCAGTGCCCTGTGTCTAACCCAACCTCCTGATCATGTGTATGCCCCCCACCCCCTGAGAACTGTCTGTTAACAATTGAAATGTGTGCCTGTTAAATAATAATCAGAAATAAGCACATGCCGTTGTAATTAGCCCTTACTTGTTCAGTACTCAACATACTAACCGATGCTTTCTTTTTGATAAAAGACAAAAAGTGTGGGAAGCTACAGAGTTATTTTCAATAAGCCATCATTTTTGATGGTGAACCTCTGAGCCTTTTAGTATTTTTTGGCACTAAAAGTTTTAACGGGGAACAATTGTAACTTATGTTGAAGCATGCAAAGAATGCCATTACTACTCTTAAAGCAAATCACAATAACTATCTGATTTAATCATGATTGCAGCTTTAAGCAGGGAAAAGGGAAAACGGCAGGAATCAGTATTTGTCCCAGCTACAGCGAACGCCACATCAACCTGCCTCTCTCTCCTCATGCAGGTCCGCACTTTGTCGCAGTGAACAACAAAAACGAAATCATCGTGACGGATTTTCACAATCACTCCGTAAAGGTAAGTCATGTTGCGTCTCACTCTTCAAAGAGGAATTACCTGTGAATCCATCCAAGTTCACGTAGATACGGACAAAACCATTTATACCGACTCCCTGCCGCAGGTGTACAGTGCGGATGGAGAGTTCTTGTTCAAATTTGGCTCTCATGGTGAAGGCAACGGCCAGTTCAACGCCCCCACTGGCGTGGCCGTGGACGCCAACGGGAACATCATTGTAGCTGACTGGGGTAACAGCAGAATACAGGTGAGACGGGCCGTGTTTAGTCACTTTTAAGGTACACAGTTTGCCATTTAAAACCTACAATGTTGAATATGTTTTTATATTATTTAGTTAATGATAATACAATAATGCATCGCCATATGAACGCTGAAACTCTTTGTGTTTCAGGTGTTTGACAGCACAGGCTCCTTCTTATCTTATATCAACACTTCAGCAGACCCGCTGTATGGACCCCAAGGCCTCGCCCTCACCTCAGATGGACACGTGGCTGTGGCCGACTCTGGAAACCACTGCTTTAAGGTGTACAGATATCTGCAGTAGGCTGCAGACATCGAGGGAAGACATCGAAGACGCAACCTTAAAATCTCTTACTGCTCGTGGACATAGAGCTGCAATGTGGGCGCACACTGGCCCCATGTTCCACAAATGCATTTCCTCTTTAGTTGTGTCTGTACATAGTTTAGAAGATCCAATATTGAGAGATAAAATGTTTACATTAAAAACAACCAAAACACCAACAATTCAAGTGTTATTAAAATGTATTTTAAAGACAAAATAAACTAGTGATCCCAAATATGATTGCAAGAAGTGACATTCATTTCCTCTTTGAGGAAAAATACACCTCGGGAGACTGTCCTGGTGTAATCTCAAGCACTTTGTAAAAATTAAAAAAAAAAAAAAAGCGTCCATGTTTACCCTAGTTGATTATAAATTTAGCTTAGGAGATTTCACCAAACTCTTTGAAAAAGTGAACTGGAAATCTATTCCTGGAATAAGGTATATTTCTGAATACAGACGGCGCCACTGGCAGTAGCCTGCCGGTCTGCATTGGGTGATACACTGCGATTTGTTCAGGCCATGCAGATAAGAAACAAACCAGCCAACGGAGACACGGATGCAGAAGTGTTCTACTGGTTTCCTGATTATGCTTTAGGGATAAAAGAACAATGCTCAGGCCTTTCCCTTGCAAACTTGTGTGTCGGTGTGCACTAGAAATTAACCCGCCATCATGGCCTTCAAGTTTTCGTTAGTAAACACAACAGATCCAGACAGGAATGTTTTCTTTTCAAAGGAATAGTTTATTTTTCTCCTTTTGCACTTTACCACAAGATCCTCGTGCGTGGATATTCAGATTTTTGTTTTCTTTGAAATGTTCAGTTAAAATTTTACCTTTTTTGTTTTGCTGCCCAAAGGAAAAGCAAGAAGCACAACAGTTAACAGAACAATGAGGCTTTTGAACACAGCGTCCTGTTCTTTTATTGACAAAACAAACAATCTAGTATCTAACCCCACTAGTTATTGTACCTTTGTGTATTCAACCTAATGTATTGTTCATATTATGCACATTTTGATGTATGTGTCATTTCACTAAATAGCCTACTTATTGCAGTACTTAATCAATCAACACTGGGTAATATATCAATTCTATATATATATTATGACAATAGGTCATGCCGAACTGAATGACTTGCAAACATCAATGGAACAAAGTTGTACCCATTATTTGCTGTATTTCTTTTTAAAAGAACTTCATTTATTTTTGTTTGCTTTTCTTTTCTACATGATTTGCTCAGAAAAAGTATTTTTCTAATTGGTGTATTTGAACTGTCTTTGTACATAGACCATGTAACTAGTAGCACTGAAAGCCTGCGTTCGCTCTTTGGCCTCTCCAGAGCTCACATCCAGTTAAACAGTAACGTTTCCCGCTGCCAAAATGCACCGTTGTAAGTTTTTGAACATTGCACAAAATACAAAGATAATAGTTCTATTGTTTGCGAGAGTAATATATGCCTATGTATAGCTATCATCCTTTGTAACATAATCAGATTGTTTAATGTATATTACAATCACATTATAGTTGGAGTTGATTAGCACCATGTCTTGTCAGTAGTTGTATTCGGTGAAGGTTTTCTATTTGAGCAACACACCAGCTAAAATCAGACATTTCTTTCAACTTTACAATCAAGTGTCTCTGGTTATTGATCAGTTATCCATTCCTTTCTCGCCATCTGCATTTCACAAAAAATACAAATGCATTTGAAAAGCGTTACTTAATCCATGAATCAGACCGCTGTGCTTTTATTTTTTATATCTGGCTCTATGGCTGACGTACCCACACCTATGTGAAACGGTGCATTGACCGCCTGACGTACTTCATACAATAAGTAATCACAGCGTAATTACGGTATCACTAAATATTAAAATTATCTGAAATTTCTTTTAGCATTAAATGGACAAATTTACAATAGAGCCCCTCCCCTACAGATGGTTAGAGGTCAAACAACAAATCCGACTCTTCCAAGATTCCAGCCTTGGTTTTGTCTGTCGGGGAGTTAAGGGGCGAGATTAGGACGGAACTGCAGCAGTCAACATTAAATACCGTTGTAACATAATTTGGGTTTGAGTGGCCTCGCTTGCATACGTGCAGCTTTTTTCAAGGCAAGTTTTATCTTGAAAGGATAATATACAATTTCACATCGGTGGGCTATGACTTTTTCCCAAGCTGCTTTGCTTTAGTCCGTTTTACGACTTCTGCACTGCACGAAATCGTCATGTCTCACCTCCTCCTTAAATCTTTTGGCAGCACGACATCGGAATCAACGGCACTAAACACACGGCAAAATGAGAGGTGGGACCAGAATAGCAAACATGGAGCAAAAGCCCTTTTGAGAAGTATCACGCAGGCAGCAGTCTGTTTGCATAAAAGTTGCCGTAGGTAGTTTTACAATAATCATTTAAAGGGTTTATCTCCCATTGCTGCTCAAAGCAAGCAATATAATACCATTGCAGGTACATGTTGGACCGTGAAACGTCCAGTAATCTACACGTCAGTACCTCTAGTTAATATATCTGTTGCTTTGTGTTTAATGAACACTGAGGAAAGAGTACAGCGGTGGATGAAGGCTGTAAGAAAAACACGTTTAAACATTTCTTTTAATATCCTCATTTCATCTGAAAAACAGTAAGGAACTATATACACAGTGAAAGCCACAAACCCAGAAATGTTTTTTTTTATGGCAAACTTAATGACAACTTAAACACTGCAAAACAAAAAAAAAAAGTATTTACATGTTTAAAAGATAAAAAAAACTGGTATACCATCTAAAAACAAATCAGTAAATACTCTACAGGAATCCAACCACGTCAACTGACGCCTGAGGCGCAAAACACATGAAGGCGCATGTTGAGAAGAGCCGTTCCCAATGGTCGCCATCGTTTCTGCTTTGCTCCCCATAGAACTTGATGTAACATCTCATGTAGGTCCACAACCGCTCAAACGAAATAAAATGAATGTAACATTCGACGTTAATGGAAAAATAGAAATCACGGGACCAAGTTGTACGAGAGGCCGTCACGCAGCGCCAGGACCAACTATAGCATCAATAGTATAAAGATGGACTATTTAAAGAAACATAAAAAAAAGGAAATGCAGCAGGTACATTTTAAGAAGCAAAAAGGTGACCATAAACATTCATATTTTATAGGTTTACATCTTGGTCTAGTCTCTTTATGGAATGCTTTTTTTTTTTTTTAGTAAAAAACATTTCCATATTTTAGGATATGGCTTTAAATGTTAATGTACAATTTCAATTAAAAAAAAAAGTTTGACGCAGACTTTTTAAATACCAATTATAATAATAAAGAGGAATTTGAAAGTCCAGCCTGATCAACGTACAAAATAAAATGGTCGGTTTGGACGTTAAAATTCACAAAAACCTAGAGCCATTCAGTCGTCAGGGAGCTTTAAATCCCAGAACGAGCTGTCGCCTTTCAGCTGAAACGACTGAGGGAATCTTAAGTCAAGAACTATCCATGTGATGGCGATTATTTCCTTCAAGTTCAACCCAACAAGGCAATAGCACCAACTTCCTGAGGAAAAAAAAAAAGCCAATATGATGGCACGGGGTGCTAACATGACAATAGTTGCTCTAAACATCAAAAGCGTTGGCAACAAACAAACTGACAACAAACCACCGCGGTCCGGTTCTAGGCCTACGGTGCGCGTCGTGTTTAACCTTGATAACACTGAAGCTTTCGAATATATACGGTTTAAACCTCATTTTCTAAGCAGCAGAGAGACCAACAGGTAACAGCTCAATGCACAACACAGGACCTCAACGGGTCACCTCATTGCTCAGACCTCGTTGGGGAGACAAAAACCACAGCACATCTGTGGAACACCAGCATGCGCCAGTATCGCGGGCCTCTTAGTAGTAGTGGCAGATCTGCAGCCGGCTGCCCGGATCATTCTTCCCCGGGCTAAAGAACGGACAGACGGGCTCCTCAAAGCAGGTGTCAAACATGAACAATCTCTTCATCGTGACGGCGTCGTAGAAGCTTAGGCGCCCGTTGTCGTAGTCCAGGTACACGCCGACCCGGGGGGAGTTCCAGTAGTCGGCCACGGGGATGCGGCCGTCCTCCCCGTTGGCATAGAGCCGGTCCTGCAGAGACAGGCTCCAGTATCCCGCGGAGGGGGTGAGGCTGATGAAGCCCTTCCTGTTGCTGCTCTCGGTGGTGACTCCCAGGTACCAAACACCTTTGTCCTTCACGTCCACCTCCCAGTAGTGCTGGCCGCTGGCGTACTGGGCTGTGGCCAGGACGCAACAGAAGCGGTTGAAGCGGGCTGGCAGGTCCGGTTCCTGGGTGCGAACGTGACCCTCCTCCACTATGGTGTCGAAGTCGGAGATGATCAGGTACGGGTGGGCCGTGTCGGGGTCTAAAGTCAGGTTCTGGGGCACTACGAGGAAAGAACGGACAAGTTACTCCCACTAGAGTTTAGTCAAGCATGCGCTGAACCGGTTCAGAAAGTGTTGCGACATTAACTCACTGGTGTGCAACACGTGCATCATCTTCTTCCACATAATAAGCTGAATGGGCCCAGAAAAGTCTGTGTATTCGGTCGGACAATTAGCCGTGTCGACAGCCAGAAAAGGCCTGCAATGGATTACACTGTGGATAAAAAAAAAAAAAAAACACATTGAATGTAAAAGGGGTTCAACTGGAAAAAATTAAACTGTATATAGAAATAAATAGTAAGCTACTCACTTGTTGTAAGTCTCCACAAGGCTCTGTAGGAACAAAAAACAGCATTTCATTGATTAGCATTCATCGCACTTCTTGTAGTCAATGCTTTGCCTCTGCCGTCAGTAGTGGTTTCAACACGCAGCACAATGTCTTTTAACCTCAGGTTTCTTATTACACACCAACGGTCACTGTCCATTTCTGTAAAAAATGCATCCCTACTGTGAAACAAGCGGATTTAAAAGTTGGAGCATCTCCGTTAAACTGACCTCAAAGCTCGTTTTCCCACTTATGTGGCTGTGGACGTCGGCTATATCTTTATCCACGGCTGCTGCCTCCCTATCCACGATCTTCAAGTTCTCCTCGATGACGGCCGTGGTGGCCACTTCCTCGGCCTCCAGGCTCTCGAGCACGGAGTCCTTCTCGTTGAGCAGAAACTGGACCAGGGCACCAACATCAGCCTCAATTCTTTCCTTGAGTCTCTTCTTCTTAATCTGGAGGACAGAGATTCAGGGGATTAGGATGAAAATGTCCACTGTTCATCCAATGTTTGTACATCAATCCAACTGTCAGACTGGAATAAAATGCGGAAGTTGGAGACAGAAAAATGAAATCAAAAACACATGCGATGTAAACTACATATGAATTTAAAAAAAAGTCCATTCAATACCCTCGCTTCATTTCTGGTACGCTCATCAGCCAATTTAACTTTTACACACTGAGACTTCTGCCAGTTCAGCTCCATCAGCCTCAGCTTCAACTCCATCTGAAATGAATGCATCGAGACACATGGTTAGAAAAATTGCATGCAACATCCTTATATGGGACATTTATTAAATACTTGCAAGTAGGAGACCAAATAATATAGCGGGAAGATAAGATACTGACAGATTGGGGGCTTTATGCTGCTATCTGACCTTGATATGGACCATCGGTTGATAAGAACACAGGCTCCGAGGTCTGGATGGACCTCAGGATGTAGTCACAATACATTAGTTTTGATTGAGGAGCACTGCTGTGCATTCGGGTCTTGGGCCAAGGTCGCGAGCTCTTTATCAGTTTATGACCGGAGGAATTCACACTTTCTCACACGGCGGTGTTGCGCAGGAGAAAATATGAAAGGGGAGAGGTGCAGCGTCTCTAATTAAACTATTCAACTCGTCCCTCTCCCACTGCTAGACTCGTAATTAGCATTTTGGCATTTGATCTTCTACATTAACAATACATTAAGGCCTCATTACATTTTACCGTCTCACTCACCTTCATGTCACTCACAACTTCTGGCACAGGCGCTACCTCATGGTGTCTGAAATGGTAAAACAGAAAAAGGAGCAGACAGTCAGTGCTTAGCAATGTTCTCATTAAGTACTCCTTACCAAACACGACTGTAACGCTCAAATAAAATTCCCATTCACTTGCAGTCATCATTACTGCCTTTATCACAAAAAAGAAGCTGAATTCAACAACCTCATCTGCATAACAGAAACCCAAACAGGGGAGCCACTTTTAGAAATAAATAAAAAACAGTTTTGCCAAAAGGCATCCCAACAATGTGGGTGCATGCTTTAGGAATTCTTATCTTACATAATGCAAGTGTTGAAAATGTAACACTGAAGCACAACATCGTACACACCAGATCACTATGTACCGTTTACTGCCCACTAATCTATGAGGGTGCCAGTATCAGCAGACTGGTCACACAAGTCCTCTTATCAAACCAAACGACACTACTCCCCATACACCTTAGATTTAAGTTACTCATAAGAAATGCAAAATGGTTTGTTTTCTGGCATGTTACGCTAAATTAAAATCATTGAATACGGTATTTTTATACAAGTAAGAGGAGTCTTCGTTAGCGCTAGTCGTAGCACGACTGAATCTTGTAGAGCGGAAGCTCGGCACACGCTGCCAGCAGAGTAGTCATAAAGGACAGCACTTGGATGTTGATTACTTTAGAGAACGGTTTGTTCTTGGTGCATTACATTGCAGTCATTGTCATTTACTGTTGCAATACTAAACTTTGCAAATCACCATTGTCTAAAACCATATTTTCTTCCACACTCCTTGATGCACAAGAGTCTAGTTTGTGGTGTCTCCAGGGGACGATGGGCGTATACTTCACCCCCAGACTAAAACACGGACATGTTTAGAAAAGATAGAAAGATGTGTGTTCATGGGTTTCTGAAGCACAGGATCCTAAACAATAGACCAGTGCTTTGCTGGTCGACTAGCATTTCTTCATCGGATCATCCTTGGATTTTGCAAAGCCAAAAAGGCCGATTAGACTGAAAAAAAAACCTAGGTCTTGCTTAGAATTACAATAGTTTTCCAGTCTCTCCTTTGTGCTGCTTTCAGGTTTCTTATACATATCTACATACACTGGTGTGGTGGAAACTTTCATCAGACCCAACAGATTCATTTAACCAGCAAAACTGTCAAAAAGTAATCGGACCTCTGAAGCGATGCATTTTACAAACGAGGAATGCCGTTTGAGATGACGTCATCTCAACAAACACTACGTCAATAACCACCGACCTGTGTGCTCTGGATTCCCTGCACACCACACAGATGGGCCTTTTGTCGGTCTGGCAGTACAGCTTGAGCTCCTCCCCGTGCTGGTCACACTTCTCATCTACTTTAACGGGCTTGGAGGGCGCAGGACAAGAGCCCAGACACTCCAGGTCGTCCAGTTTGGCCACCAGGTTCTGCACCAGGTAGTTTTTAGTGAAGCTCCTCTTGTTGAACACCTGAGAGAACAAAATAAAAAACACACACACCTGAGAACGAGTCGCAACCAACCCCACAGTCCCAATTACTGTATCACACACGCGTCTACTTATTTTATGGTCATCTGGATTAAAGAACACACGTTACATCCATCTGTAAAGCCGACACTGATATTTAAGGCATTACTGCAAACTTGCCCTCTGGTAATGCAGCGTTAGCTAACGTTAGCCATCATAGCAACCAAATGCTGCGTTATCAGCAGAATGTTCGGCATTCTTTAAAAAAAAAAAATACAACTGCAGCCGTTTTCTCTAAATTCACTTTCGTTGGCGTGGAAGTAGGTTACTGTTAATAACGGTTTGTCACACGTGAGACATACCGATACATGGGACGGGGGTGGCGATAGGAAAAGGAAGGAAGGAACGAACGAGGTTAAAAACTTAGCTACCGTCCGGCATTGAGGGCACTGGTAGCCGTAGTCTCCGCCATTTTCGTCCCAGTGCATGCAGATGCAGAACCGACAGAAATTATGGCCGCATTTGAGTATAACGGGGTCTTTGAAGAAGTCCAAACAAATCGCACACGAGAGCTCTCTCTTCAGGTCGTCTCCAGCTGCAGCAGCGGTGGCCATGTTTACAATCCAACGGCCGCACGCAACTCCGACAGAGAAGGAAGTAAGAGGAGAGGGGGAGGGGCGAAGCGCCCACATTTGTACTGCGTCATTTCACGTTTAACCAATCAGCTTCGCGCCTCTCTCTTTCTCTCTCTCTCTCTCTCTCTCTCTCTCTCTCTCTCTCTCTCTCTCTCTCTCTCTTACTCTTTTACAGAGGGCAATAAAATAATACTTAATAATATATTTTTATTATTGATATATGTTGATAACGATAAATTATTATCTGAAATCCTCAATCTGGCTTGTCTGACTGTGTCTCGACAATCAAACCCAACTGTTTTTTTTATAAATACTGACGACATCAACAGCACAAGTAAGCAACAATATTTATTTTTAAATACATATACATAAAAACCCATTCTTAAAAAGACAAACTGAATATCAAGTTTGATTGTTTCTTCTAAAATTGTCATATACATGGGGGGTAATTGGCTGTGGAATATACATTACATTGCATAGCTCGGATTGGCATGTGAAGGATGTGACTCAAAAAGTGCATTTGATGTCAGATATATGGTCTTATTTCCAAATTTATCGGGGGGGAAAAAATCGCAGCAGTGTCCCAGCACACTATTACGTGTATAAACCATCACACCCATCACCAATTATCATCGGATCTGCAGCTCATGTCTATCACATTGGCTATCCCTGATAAATATTGGAAATAAATATACAATGATGACAACACCATAATAAGACAAATATTTAGAAACATTAATCCCACCATGTTGTATATCCATAGAAGAGTAAGACACAGGTCTAACAACACATATAAACAAGAAAGTTCACCAGTGATATTGACAAAATAACGAGACAGCAGATTATATAAAATGCCTCAAATGTAATATTTTTCTTCTAGACTTACTGATTTGTAAGCAGCTATTTTGCATCCTTTGTTACAAAATATTACCCAGAACACTAATTCCCACACACTGTAAGAGTGACAAACAAAGCTTACAAGAACATAATGTGAGAAGAATAGGGGTCAAAACATTGGATATGAACAAAGTATTTGCATGTTCACAGCACCACAGTCATTAGCAGTGTAACACAGAAGTGGCTCACTAGATATTTTCTTCACCCAACAGTAGTAGATTGTGAAATGGCCCATTGTTGTACAAGAAATAACTCCTGAGATGAGTGTCTCATACTGTAACCAGTGCTCTCTAAAAAAACATTTCACTCAAAATATTTAGAACGAATATGACAATTTCACAGACATACACAGTGGAACAGCGGGATGGATGGCAGTAAACATTGTGGTATCAAAGCAGTGATGAACTGTAAACATATGACGCAGTAAATAACCAAGTTTTCCCAAGAGTAGAAATAGTGGGAATGACCCAACTGAGCAGCATCGGAAATGCTAATTACATCTAACATCGAATTGTAAGAAAGAATGAGGGAAAATGATATTAGCTGGTTAATACACATGAATTCTTACTGCAGTGGTGTCACTCTACGGTAAAATATTTCTGTAGGTTTAGTTCACAGATATGAAACAGGTGGTGGCAACTTTGTTATTTAGAACGACTGTGTCCCCAAATATTTTATGACCAAAGGTTTGTCCTAAAGGGATAGTTCCCCCTAGAAGGCATGATATACACAACTTAGTCTTAAATATTTCATACCTAATCCCTTTTTAATCCCCGGTATTTTCATACATTATATTATCATATGGAAATTGAGGAACTTTATGACAACTTTAAGGACAGTAAGTGAGATTATAGTGTCTATATTGGACTTTTGCATCAACAGAGTTGTTAAGATGCTAAACAAATACTGCAGGAAGTGTGCAGAGATCACTTATGTATCCCTTCTGAGTAGAAACTCATAAACACAAAGTTTTAAATGAACTAGGGGCAGTGAATAATATCCGAGTTTTCTTTTTTAAGGTAAACTATTCCTTTCAATATGAGCATTCACATCATCTAGTCCCCTTTATGCGAGGTAAACCTACAGCACTAAATCTCTGGATTGGCCTGCGAGACACCAGCTTCACAAGGAAAGTGCTTTGAGTGGCTGTGATTCTGCAGAAGGGATGTAGCGGCTTCAGCAACATTTACACCCCAAAGCTTGTCAGTGAGAAATGAAATACCATGCTAGTAACAGCATGAAGTGGAATGTTGGGCCAAGACACTGTGATGGTAAAAAAAATCTTATGCTAAAAGAGTGATTATTGTCTGTATTGAAGTGATGTGCAAAAGCAGAAAGACTTAAGGTTTCCATATGCAGCTGTGTCTAGGAGAAGGCTCTCCCACAGGCGCTCGAACAAAGGGACTGTGTGTGTTACCCCCATCTTAACCTTGGTTCTTATCTCAACTTGGTTTGCAACTTCTCGTACCTGCCATTTAGGATGGCCTTCACATGTATGCATGAAAAATCAGCGTTTTTACTGCTCGGAGATGCCTTGGCCTCCTGCTTGCAAGCAATAAATGGACTTTTTGCAGCTTTGATCATTCAGCAAGACTGTTTTTTATTAGATAAACATTCAAATAAATCATTCTCTTCTCCCGAACTAGTTTTATTGAAATATTCCCCAACAGCACCCTGTAGGACTGTACTCTTTGCTGTTCCCTATTGTAGTGAACATGGTTTGTAAAGGATCCAATGCTGTATAAATCCTCCACTAACAGGCGCAAACACACACACACACACACACACACACACACACACACACACACACACACACACACACACACACACACACACTCACTCCAAATACCACATATGATCAATATCAGATTTTTGGTGTTGTGAAAGCGATTAATTAGCAGTTAAAAAACCAAACAACAAATCCCAAATTGTATAAAACCCTCACGTGCTCCTCATCCCTTTGTCCATCTGTGGATCCCCGCATCCGCTGCTCAGACCTCTGAACTGTTGTGGCAATCCTGCATCCTCACCACCAACATGGGCTCTGTACTGACCGACCCTTTCACCACCTCCTGCACCCCCTCCCTCCATCCCTCCTTCCCGTCCTGCTGTCTGGATCTCAGCACCAGTACGACGATGACAATAATGAGGACAGTCAGCAGCAGCCCCACCGCTGTCCCCACCATAGTCACCAGACCCTCTTCCTCTTGCCCCGCGTTCCGCTCACTAGGTTCCAGCCCACCGTTGAACAGCTCGTTCGACCCCCCTGCCTGTCTCTTGGTGCGGTCCAAAGCGATGTGCATGATGTTGGTACCGCGGTTGCTGTCTGCGCCGATATCGTCAGCGACCTCTGGGACATGCTGGCCGGCCGACCTCCTGGAGCGAGGACCTTTGCCGCGCGACGGGGTCAAGGCGATGTCACTGCTTGGGGAAACCAAGGAGTGGTATTCCAGGCTGCGCTTTCCAATTCCTCTGTTAGCATTCTCTTTGGAGCGGACTGTGTAAATAGTGTGAATGTACCACTCACGGCCTGCGGCAACCTGAAGGAAACACCAAAGAGCGAACATCTAAGAATTGTGTTCAATTTAGAAAATGAGCAAACCAAATTGATTAAGAGTCCAAAATGATCACGTCTTGCAAAAATAAAATCATTATATTAAATCAATTCAATGCTTGTTCAATTTAGTAAGTCAAGTGAGTCAACCAACCATTTTTGATAAGATAGGACTCACTTGACTTACTAAATTGAACGAGCATTGAATTGATTTAATATAATGATTTCAAAATACAATAACTCTGCACTGCAAAAGTAATCACCACCAAGGATTACATCACAAAACCTAATGTCTTACATCCATGCGGTCGACCCAATAGAGCATTTAAACCATCACACAAGGTCGGGGCAAAATACAAACTGTGTCCATACAAAATTTGGGCAAAGCTCTGTTATAGCGCAAAATCCATCTCACAATAATACAAATAAATAAAGATTGTAAATATTTAACTTATTGTAGCTACCAAAAATTAGTCACTGTCCATGAGGAGCAGTAAGATGACGAATACCTGGAACATGGCTGTAGAGTCCAACCTAAAGCCATCGGACCCGGGCTGCTTGACCAGGGACATTGCTGTTGGATCATCCACTGCCAGTGCCGCATTAAAACTGACACCACCAAACGCACGTGCCTGAGTCTCTGGCTGAGCTTTGTCCTGTTGAGGTGCGGTAGATTAAGGGAAAAATGGAATTAAACAAACGTTATTTTGCATCTCTCTGCACACTCAAATGGCATTATTAAAAAGCTGAATTTACTCACAAGGATCTTGAATCTCAAGAGCAGTGATGGCGAGTCGGCCAAGCAGCCAAATTCAAACTTTATTGGGTTGTACTTTGGTACGTATCCATCAGCACCGGTGCAGAGGAACACCTTCTCTATGCTACAGAAGAAAGAGTCCCCCAGGTTCTGCACAGGGTCCACCATTACACGGCCATAGATCGGATCGCCTAAAAGGAAGGTAGGAGTTCATTCTAAAGCGTACACCTTGTTATGTAGGCTCGTCAATCATCAATCCAAGAAACATTGACAGTTCAATGCAAGTAAATGGAAATGACTTTAAACAGCTGTAGTCTTCTGTGTTTATGTTTTAGACATTGAAATGTCAACCATGTCCCTGGCACACCGCTGCTTCTGCTTTTATTTTCTATCTTCAAATGTCAATATTTGCATATATGTTGTCTTCCAGGATTGATCTGGGACTTTTATGCTGACATTTCAGATGTCAGTTTAAAAAGCAGATTTTATATTCCCTGTAAATGAATGGTCACAGTAGGTCAGGCAAGACTTATTTTTGGCTAGTCATTTTCCATATTGTGCTCAAATAATGTCCAATCAGAACATTAATCGAAAACCTTTGGAACACTTTGCATATAACTATAGACGTGATGTAAAACATGTTATATGTGAAGACAATGTGACATAAACATCTAGAGCTGTAAGTATTTTATTTTGAAATCCTCCTTATACTGAAAAGTAAAGTAAGTAAAAGTATTAAGAGGGTACTTACCCTCAGAAAACGCTACATCCGTCTCCTGGCCAAAGCCCATGGAGCCATCAGAGAGCCACAAGCTTCTCTTGGTCAGTAAGAACATCTGAGTGTTCAGACTAAATTCCACCGCAACCGGGTCGCTCACCTAAAGCGGGACGCACATCAAAACGTTTCACAGGGGGAAGAGCCAGCGACAGAGAGCGAGAAAGTGAGAAAATATTGCCGCTTGAGGTTCAAACAAAATCCGCCGTACTTGCTGGAATCTGATGTCTAGATTGAAGGTGACTGGTTCTCTGGGACTGCAGACAGGCGGGAGAGTGTATTCCATGTTCTGGGCTGTTGTGCAGGGGATCAGCTTTACTGTGAAGGTTCCAGAGTAGTCTCTTACCTGTAGGGAGCAAAGAAGACAGATAGCGTGTCAGTCTGCATCTGTCCGTCCGGCTGCTTGAGAGCACGCGTTTACACAGCGGACGTTTCAATTTCACGTGGTCACACTTACAGCAAAGTCCGAGGTGAAGGTCCACTGCTGGACTGGCTGGTTGTAGGTCGGCTCACTCCTCACTAAGGTGAGGTTAAAGGTCAGGCCGGGGTGGTCCACGCTCATCACCATGGAGGTCGTGACGGTTGCTAGGTGATTAAAGTTGAGGGAGGGAGGGAGACGTTCACGATGGAAGACTCATTTAGAATGAACTCATAATAATGCGTTTGTGTCTTGAGCAACGAGTGCTCAGTAAAAGTGGTGTGGTTAAGATAATCCGTCAGCCTCACCAGCTTTTTTTATTCTGCCTCCAGAATGAGACTCCACGAACAGACCCCTGAAACGAGCCTTGGTGCGGAAATTCACCACCAAACGTCCCTGTTCATTGATGCGCATGCTTGTTGGATACAATGAACCTGGCAAAAAAAAAGACACAAGATTTTTCAAGAACACACTTTAAAAAAAAAGATATGTGGATGATGTCGGGGTCCAGAAGAACATAATGTCCCGTCATCACCTACCCTGCAACTCGGCCTTCGGGGGGCTGCCGATGCCCTCCGCCCAGAGAATGGCCGTGTCGTACACGAAAGTCAGGCGAAGCTCTGACTGCAGGTCAAAGTGCTGCCAGCCACCGGCTCCCACGGGAGAGTGGAACACGTATGACACGTAAAGAGGCACACGCAGAGTCACGTAGGACTGGACCAGATTCAGCACCTGCGAGGACGTTGATGAGTGAAGAACGGTTACATTTAGGCTTATGAAGTCGAATACATTCAAAATGTATTAAATTACCTGATTTTATGGTTGAAGTTTGAAACCCATGTTTATTTTTATTTTTAGACGTATTTCCACGAGACCAGCCACTAGGGGTCTCTGCTCACAACACCATGTCATATGTTGTGTGTCGTGTGAACTATGTGGTCACATATGTTTCATTTTGTCTCAGAAACACAAAATTCATGGAAATTAAGTACATTATATTTGTTTGAAAATTAGTCCATTTGTATAGTAAACAACTGCATTGATACTGGACAGGAGATTAATTCACAAGAGAAACTTAGAAGATCAATTTTAGCGGACAATATTTTGGCACGTCTCAGTACTGCGATATTAATATTGTTCGCAGTTCCTTCACAATATCCTGCTCTTTACTTTTCTAGTGAGTTAAACCATTTAGTTAGTGAACATTCTCTCCAGATATGAGAGAGTCTGAGAGTCTGCAGTTATGGAGAACATGAAACAAAGCTGTCATGAAAATCCAATGACCAATCAATGATCAGGATTATTACACTGTAAATGTTTTGTTTTTATAAAGACTAATTTCGGAAGCAGCCGAATAATTAAATTCTTTTTCTGGGCTTCGATTCTAGATGTTCGTACTGGTACTTTTTTTTTCTTTTAACACTGTTTGAAAAATAAAATAAAAGCATAACCGAAGGGACTATGTGACAGTGATCTCTCTTAACTAAGTGGACTTGAAAGGTGACGGGCGTCATGTGTGTAAATAGTTCATGCTGTGACTGAGGAAAAATAAACCATTTTCTTATCTGTTCTTTATCTCCTCCACACAACCCAAAAAACACCCCTGAACTCTCAGCAGTCTGATCAGCAACAAGAAGCTCACAGATCAAAGGCTGACGGAGCACAAAGGAGCAGCAGGACATGAGCCAGAGAGCAAGGGTCTGTCTCCTAATCCACAACAACAACAACAACAAGAACCGCAGATCTGTAAAGTATCCGATCCGACACAAATTGACACAGCAACAGCAAACGGCTGCAGAAAGTTTGTTAGCATCCAGCCGGCACAAAATGAAAAGTAGTTTATTTCTGTGTGGAGTTCAACTGCGATGCCACCAACCAATAAAATAAGAAAAACTAGGGGGGGGGGGGATTTTAGATAAAGTGAATTCCCTTTTGTTTCCCAATTTTCCCAAATTTCCTTTGAATCCAAGCTGCAAATCTTTCGTGTTGATGAGTGTACAATTGGTGAGCGTTAAGGGAATGACTGATGCGATGTTGGCAACACTTTGTTTGAGTGTGTGTGTTTCACACATGTTTTGCATGCACACAATCAGAGGCTCGCAGAAGGCAAACACACACAAACGTTGAGTGAATGAGACGTAAAGCGCAGGCAAACAGACACGGTGGCGTCCTGTTCTGCGCAACCCTCTCATTCAAGAGCCGTAAATGGACTGAGCACACAGACAGAGACACACAGGTGGACACACACACACACACACGCACGCTAGACAGTCAAACAGATGTACATACAAACCCTGAATTGGAATTTATAAGTTGTAGACAAACACACAGGTAAACACACACACACACACACACACACACAAACAAACCTGTCCATCAGTCCCTATGGTGCCTCCGCAGTCTGTGAGCAGCTCGGACATGTGGTAGTAGCTGGTGAACTCCCAGAGACAGGCCTCCAGGTTGAGGTTCCGGTAGAAGCGCAGCGTGCCGTTGCCGCGCAGAGGGCTGCTGAACTGATAGGGCGCCGCGTCTCCCGCGCTCTCGGGGCTCCGCGTCGAGGCGGTGATGAAGCTGTGACCTGTGGTGACCTCATCGTAGTCCAGCAAGTTGGAGCAGCGGTGGTTTCCGACCCGGGTTCCATCCGGGCTCAGAGTCAGTTCAAAGTTGGTGAGCGGGCGAGTGGAGATTACCGGAAGCATGCCTGCAAAGAGAGAGAGAGAGAAAAGGTGCAACTGTCTTTGGTACCAGTACTGTGAGAAATTATTATTTCAAAAACTTAGTGGGGAAAAAAATAGTTGAACGAAAAGTGATGAAAGGAGGACCAGGGAAAGCTGGAGGAGACGAGCTGGAAGGAAACTGATTAAAAATCAAGAAGGAAATATTGAGTCGCGGGCGTGCTGGAGGGCTTCTGCAGGGGGGTTTTGATGTAACCCGGCAGGATCCACATTCTGGCTGTCACGCTCCTCAGGATCCACGGACGTGAACACTGCACACAGTACATTACCCTTCACTTCATCAGCGGTGGAAGTCCAGCCTGCAGCTTCACCTACCGTCTATATGAGGCATGGTGACAGTCACTTTGATGAGGTTAGGGTGTTTCGGGTCCTCGGCTCCAGTGTAGCGCAGCTTTGCAGAGAAAGGCTCGGCGCCAACGGTGCCCATCTTGCGTGGTTGACACATACCTTAATATGAGCAGAGAGGAAAGGTTGTGAAAGCAAGGACGGACTGCAACGCTTTGAAGGACAGAAGGCAAACAGACCGAGCGTATGATAATCTTAGAAAATTAGTTTGAACTAAAACAGTAATATTCTGTAAAAATGCTGACATTCCCAAAACAGTTTACTAAATTCTGTAATATCAACACGTTTAGTACATTTTGCTCATAATCTTTACTTAACATTCTGAATTATGCAGCTGTACTGTACAGTAGGAGCTGTTCATTAAAAATGACATACCATGATGCTTGGAGAACCAGGGAGTATGGTTCTGATTGCAAAATCATAATAAGTCAAACTCCTTTTTACAGAAAACGGGGAACATGAGACACACAGACGGAGGTTCGTTGTTCTGTCCTCACCTTCCTCCTGGCTGATGGCGGTGATGGGGCTGCTGAGCTCTAAACCCTCGTCGCCGTTGGAATTAACGGCTCTGGCAGCACACTGGACCCTGGAGCCCGCCTGGAAGTAGACTGAGTCCAATGCGATCGTCTTGGAGGACGTGAAGAAGGTGTCAAAGTCCACCTCCCTCATGGGACTCGTGACGCCGTCGGGGCCAGCCGGGGCACTGATGAGCCAGCGGTAGCGGGTCAAGGTGTTGTTGATGTGCTCGCTCACGCAGATAGAACCCGTCTTGTCGTATTCTGGGTATTTGGTGTTGCAAGCCTGGAGGACGGATGGGGGGGGTTAAAGTCAGAGTGGGCGGGTGGGCAGGGACAGCAGAGAGATGGGAAAGATAAAGCAGATGCCCGAGGACAAAAAGGAGAAAGAGGTGGAGAATACAAACGAGTGTGCAACGGCTGCCAAGGAAATCCAGATGTTTCAGTGTGCTGGGATTTTATTGTGAAGCTCTTAAACCTGCTTGTTTTGAAATGAGAAAAATAGTGGTGTGAGATGAACGGTTAAGCCTTTATGGAATTATGTGTGTAAACCTGTTGACACCAGGTCTCCCGTTGCGGCACTCAGCATTTGAGTTTTGACAAGATTGTTTCATTTTGTGTCCCTGAGCCGTCACCTGAGAAGCAAATGACTTAACACTTCACAAAAACACCCATTGAAGTGTCTCAGCGAGCTCGCATTTCAACAGTGGGAGGGACTCTCTGGCGGACCGTAGCGTACCAGACTGTGTAATGTGACTGCTGGTGACGGACTGGCCAACACTGGAAGGGAGAATGATGTGGGTCCCGATTCGGTCCCGCTACCTCATACCACAAAAAGCCCACGTGCTAAGTTACAGTTTCCGGGGCTCTGCTGAAGTGAACTGTATTTGTAAAGTGGCGTTGATCGTTGGTTTCAGTTTCACGCACCGTGACACAGACGACAGGGTAGCCGGCCGGTGGACTGAGGTTGCCTGGCGTCCTGGCGGCATCGTCGTAATGAAGCAGTGACACCACGTGAGGCAGCGAGGGGAAGGTGACGTCGGCCATGCTGTTGGTCTCCTCGATGTAAACTATCATTTTAGTTACCTGTTATGGAGAAGAGAGAAAGGAAAATCTATTCCCGTCTTTACTCAAAGCAGACGTGTTTGTGTGGTTTGTTTGTGGGGTGTTTAACCTGAGTTTCAGCCACCATGTTTGCATCAGGCTTAAGGTGAAGCGTAAAGGCTTCCCTCATCTCCCGGACACCATCAAAAAGCACTTCCACCTGCACCGCGTGTTCCTTATCGCCCTCTTTGAACTCAATGTCTGGGCATAAACAAAAACAAACACGTACGCCAGGAAAATACATTTCAAACGTATCATCATTGGAACAGCTGTGTTGCATTAGTATTGGTTGTTGTTGTTGTTGTTTTTTGTGTAGAATTAAAGACAGTTTGGTTACATCAAGGCCTTGTTTCTCTCTTTTTTAAGTAAAGTTTTCCATAAAAATTGTTTCACGCATTGCAGCTTTTTATTTACATAGAAATAGTCATAGTAGTAATCTTCTGGTGAGGTGAGTAATATTGTGTAAAAGTTGGAATTCAACGCTGTGCGACAAATAGCTGCCGGAAAATGTCAGTAAGGTGTAATTTGAATTGACAGAATGTATGCATGTAAATATCTGAAGCCATGATTAGGAAGAAAGCCAAGAAAGGTTCATTGCGCTTAAAGTTGAGTGGAGGGATTTCACCCTGCTGACAAAGCGTAAAGTATAATGAAATTCAATTAAAAATGACACGACCCTCCACTGGGCTATTGCAGAAATTACCTTTCCACGCTTGGTATGAAAATACAAATTCAATGACTTGCGCAAAAATTCCTCCCTATGCACACATTCATTTAACACTCCTATGGTGAGCTTTGTAAGAAGAAATCTCGCTCTGTTGTAACTTCTACAAATGCAGAGGAATCTACCAGAAGGATATCTGCAGGTCCGAATGAACAAAGTTTATGCATCGTGCTGCTTTTGACCACTAGCAGTACTAGTTTTTATTAAGACATACATTTAACGTGTTAAAGGAGTAAAACTGTTTATTTGTCTAACCATGTGCATGGTGTTACAGACTTGCATTCATACATTGGTTTCCATTAGTTCCTTAAGTTAAGTACGTATCTCTGTCTGCTATTTTATTTTACCAGAGCTTGATTCTGCACTGCCTTTGCACCATTTTTGTCCCTAAAGCCAGTTTAAAAAAATACTAAAATGTAGCTTAAACCCTGCGAGACAGAAGAGTCTTACCTTGAGACACGGGGAAGTAGTCCTCTCCTGAGATCGCTGACCCGTCTTTGGTGTGAACACGGACCACGGACACTTTCGATGTGTCCCCCACTCGTACCACAGGTATCCTCACTGCTGCCACAGCGCCGGCTTCCTTCGGTTCGCTCACGCTGAGCTTGGTCTCCAAAAAACGAATGATGGGTTCTGAGTTGCACAGGGAGGGATTGTTCACATTTAATCATCACTCCCTTTAATATGACTGCTGACTGTGATCTAAAACCAACTGTGTTCAAGTGAACAAGTGTTCCATCCTTTATTTGTCTCCGTCCCCCTCGGCCCCTCTTCATTAATTACACTTACTGTCGGCTGTGTCCTTGATTTTCACCAGGGTCTCATTCAGAGCTCCCACCGATGCTCCAAACGGTGAGTCGCTCCTCGGGTCCCCCAAGACCAACCGCAGCTCTTCTCCCTCCTCGTACAGCGTGTCATCAACCAGAGACAGAACACATGGCTTCTCCGTCTCGCCTAAAGCGCGAAAAGTAAAACGTTTCAGGTGGGAGAAATAATTCTGCAATAATTCTCATTTTTATTTTTTACTGGATGTCGAATTTTACCCCACCCACAGCGCCACCTCCCCCCCTAAAGAGTTTAGACGGCTGTTTGAACATATTTTGTCAAGCGTATACTGAAAAGGTGCACGAGATAATGTGTGAAACAGTCAAACTTGCAAACTCTTGCAAAATAGCACTTAAGAAGAAAAAAAAAGTGTGACAAAAAATAAATAGATTTTTTGTCGGAGCTGTTTATTTTAATTAAAAGGGTGTCAACTCTCACAACAAAAAAATGATTAGAACACCTGAGGAAAAAAAGAAACGTGTGATACACTCGTGGTTAAAGGTTAATACCTGGTAAGAAAGTGATGATGGAGGTTTCTGTGTTGGGTCGCTCGTCGAAGTCGGAGGCGACCTGCGCGGAGCTCTGGCGGGTGTAACAGCGAGCCGTGGACTTGTGTCTGATGTCGCCGCTGCGGTACACTGTGGCTGTGATGTGACCGTCACTCTCCTCGCCGGTGTACACCGGCTGGCGGAACTGCACCCTCGGTACTGTCAGTCAAAAAGACAATCATCACAACACATCAACCGCCACACGTGAAAAGGTAATGACGTATTTCACGTCGTCTGGGCTGAATTTGACTGACCGGGCTGATTTTAAATAGCTAATCAAAATGCATACAAGTTGTGAAACTATGAATACAAAGTCAAAGAAAAGGGTTGAAGCAATTATGAGGTCGCCCTGAATGAAATATGACTGGAATGTTTTTAGAAAATTAAAAATATATATATTTCAGACCCATAAATGTCTGTACAGCCATCAGGACCAACTGACAGAAAGACAGACAGACAGACATTGTCATTCCTGGATCCACACCACTGGCATAGGAATAATTCTAAAGATAACAATATTTAATGACACATTTTATACGCATAGCTCTTTTAAAGCAAATACTGAAGGTGAGAAGACATAAAGTAAAATATTCTAGAAAAATCAAGTCACCCACAGTCAGACACGGAGTCGTTGATGAAAACTTTGGCTTTCCCGGGTTCTCCCAGGATGCCGTTCACCGGCATGCGAAGAACCAGCTCAAAGCTCTCGGTCCCCTCCAGCTCTGGTTGACCCAGGTCGTCCAGAATCGTGACCCTGAACGTCTGCATGCTGACGCCCGGGGCGAAGTCCAGGTTACGACTGATGCCCACGTAGTCAATACCGGCTAAAGGAAGGAAAAGAGGGCGTCGCGGACGGCGGGATTTTGAGTAGGTCAATGAAATGGAGTCAGATGTTCCTAATTGTTAATTCAATCATTTCTAGCAAATCGCCAGCGAACGATTGACTCCACAACTGAGAGCTTGTACCTTCGGCAGAGACGGGCTCGGCCTTACGAGAGCGGATGGTGACGGTTCCGGTGTTGGACAGGTCGCTCCCTGTCCTCCACACTTTAACCTCCACGTATCCATCACTCTCATCCACGTGATACTTTACCTCGCCAAAGTAAAACACCGGAGCTGCAGAGCAAACACATCAGAAGAGAAATAATCAGATTGGCAGTATTTCTTTATTTTAAAACAGCATTCATACTTTATCTCAAACTATTGATTTACATTTTTGTACCAAACTACGTCTGTTTAAAGGCCTTCAGCCTCGTACGTTGAGGCTCTTTTGAAGAGTTCATATGCATTTTCCCTATTTTCTTTATGGCTGTTATTTATGGTTTAGCGTTTAGTGCAACTTGTCTCCTCGGCTCGCGTACCTGTCAGCAACCACCGGACATGACTCATTTGTAAAGCTGGCCACACAGAGATCGAACAGAGACAGCCTATTAGTCTCACGTTGAACTGCAGGGAAGCGTGACCTTTCCGACCTTTCCAGGCCTGCCACCCCACCTCATTGTTACCATTATTCTGACATAAATCCTGGAGTACTTTCAACAACAAAAAGATGCAGTTAGCACGGAAAAACAAGGCCTCTCTCAATGTGTGTGTGTGTGTGTTGTCTCTCTGAATGTGGTGCAGTGAGATAGTGAGACAGAGAGAAAGCGCCCCCCCCCCGCCCCCCCCCAGACTGGTCAAAGGCTTGTTTGAACTGGCATTGTTTTCTGAGGCAGCAGAGTGGAGGCAGGCCAGTGTGTATTTGACGGCTTCATCTCTCACAGCCCCCGTGGCAAGTCTAAAAGAAGTGACGGAGGGAAAGTTCTTTATTTTATGCTTTAAGCTGCCACTCTCACTCGGCTCCCTTTTCATGTTCAGGTGTATAATCCCAAAAATAGAATGCGTATTAGCATTTTTCGTCACGAACAAAGGCTTTAGCTGTCCAGAGATATCTTTTTTTCCTGAATATTACTTCACAGATGTATAAACTTTAATATCATATTGTAATGTAATTTAACTGGCCTGCTTTCTCCTGGTCTCACCATCTTATTATACCACATTCAGAGAAAGAGAAAAACCACACACACACACACACACACACACACACACACACACACACACACACACACACACACACACACACACACACACACACACACACACACACACTCTCACACATAACAAAGGATAAGCAGAATGTACTTGACAAACGGAGTGAGAACATTTACTGCAGTTCTGTTTGTACTTAATTTAACACAAGTCACAGCCCGGGGGGAACAATACTGCACAAGTTCAGCTTGTGTCCTTTAGCTACATTCACTTGGTCCCTCAATGTTCCTTCCACACTCTCCTCTTCACCTAACAGATGCAGTGCTGGTTTGTAATGCAAATACAACTTGCGTATTTGCACAACGGCAGAATAGAAGGCAAATTCAGGAATCAGGGACATTTATTACCAAAATATGTTAGAATTTGACTTGGTGGTTGGTGGATAACATCAGGCAGTAAGACAACATAGTGCAAGATCAACATGGTGCAGCGGGAATTAAAATTAAAAATAAAAGTAACAAATAAAACGTTAAAAATAAAGTGCACCAGCGAACAGAAGGTGACCAGTAAAAGTGACAGGTGTGTGTGTGCATGTGTGCACTTACTCTGGTAAATAGCGCGGCGGCTGGTAAATGAGATTTTTATAAAAGCATTGATAACTAAATGCATGCTTCAACAACGGATGGGGGAACAGGTATCACACTGTAAACACAATCTGCCACGCATTCATTGAATGTCCAAAGAGGAACCTTCTGCGCCCGTGCTAATGTGCACGTCTGCATTCACACATGTCTTGACTGCCGCGGGCGACGACAAACACTTGACACCAGGAGAAGCAGTGAGTGAGGACTGATGAGCGAGAGCTACTTCCTCCCTCCCCTCTGGGGCCACGCCAGGGGTTTGGCACTCTGAAGAGTGTGTGAGGGCTGGAGATGGTGTAAAACCAAATCTTGATAATTACTATGTGTGAGTGTGTGTAGCCATTTGCGTTTGACGGCGACTTTAAAATACAGTTACCAGAACATTCACAGCGGTCCCCCGAAGGCGACTAATAAGCTCTGTTGACACTGGAAATGTTTTCACGTATGGGTCTTATTGAAACATCTTTTTCTCCCTTTATTTGGTTTAACCATTTTGTGCGATTCTTGTCCTGGACCTCTCAAAATAAACTAGCTTACTGCTCATGGTACTCAATGAAGGCAGCTTACTATTAAAGAAGAGATACGACAGTTGTTTTATTCCAAAGCTGTATTCATTAAAACATGAATTTAAAAAGTCCTCCTGATCAATACTTAAATCCCATCTCATCTCAGGCCCGAACTTGTCTTCCAGTAGTGCTTTCCACTTATCACTACTTAATCACAGACTATTTCTAAACGCAGAAAAAAATGAAGTGCATAATATTCTCCGACTCCGCCAGTGACACAGATTTTCCTGCCATTAAGATTCTAAATGTCACTCTTATTGCACCGGCTAAGTCATACAAATACACGAGCCGACTGCGATTGAAGATTCAGCAGTTCATCGCGGTACATTTTGCTACAAATGATGGACCCATCTTTGTTCTCTTTATCACACAGTTGAATAACAGTCCAGATCATTCTACTTTACCATAGATGTCCCTCATGCACTAATGTTGGCAGAGCTGGTTTAAGATACAAAATACCTTTTAAACAGAAGGAACTGCAAACTGCACTAAAATTAAAGTCCTACATTTCACCTTTTTTAAGATTTTGTAAATTATGCTTTCTTCTGATTTTTTGTCAGAATTTTCTTTTTTGCGGCCTTGTGAATATTTCTTGTTCACAAGATGAAATACCAAACGTTCTTTGTTTTTTAAATTCTATTCAACGGGAAGCCAAATGAAGGAAAGAATGCTTGCTGTTTGTATGCTAATTGAAGATATGTTGTGTAAGATCAGCTGAATTGAAACAGACAGATCAACACAGAATACCTGCTGTACCCATTATGCATTTACAAGCACGGTTTGCGAATGGAATGTTACACAGCGAAACAAATCCTTTTAACAATATAAATACATGCTTTATGGTTCTGTTCGGATTCTAAAAACATTTATTTGATCCAGCCCCCAACCTGTTTTTTTTATCGTTATGTTGCGTGTGTATTGTATATGTATAAAAAAACGAACACACAACAACCTCTTATCAACCGCAACGCTAACCTATTGAAATCAAGGACTGAGTTTCCAAGAACAACTCGTTCATCTACATTTCTACAAACTCAGCTGTGGCCGCGTGTGCTCGACTGGGACCGTCTGAGTGTCCTCTCTCCTTGGCAGGGCACAAGGAGATGACAACACACCCTCTGAGTCAGAGTGTGCAGCCATGTGGAGCGAGCAACACTCAGGGAGACAGGTACTGTACAGTTTAATCCGATAAAGCACTAAATCTAGCAGACACCCCTGGGTCTTTTTTCTTTTTTTTTCCGGCTAAAGTGAGAGAAAGTGTGCTTGTGAAGAGAACGCGAGAGAGAGTGTGTGTGTGTGTGTGTGTGTGTGTGTGTGTGTGTGTGTGTGTGTGTGCGAGTGGAGAAATAGATGGAAGGAGAACGGTGGACTGAACTTGACTTTAACCCGGGGGGAAGCGAAAATGGGGCAAGAGAGCGTTCCGGCAGTCACACTTGCAGTTATACAAGTGCTTTTTCTCACAACTTGCCTTTGATGGAGAATTTGAGGTCTAACAGTGAATCGGTGTACTAACAGACACACGTGGAGCGGAGCAGACGCAGGCCTCCGTGTACACGATTCAGAGCGCTCTCTCTTCTTTTTTTTTCCTGGCGAATTGAGGTAGCATTAAAAAGGAAGGAGGGAGCGGTTTGACTGCCCGGGCGCAGGTACTAGTGTGCTGTCAGACGGCGTATTATCCTCCTCTGGGAGGCTGAGAATGACACGTCATCTCTCACTGGATTTGGGCTTTAACAAACACATTTTCTATTCCTTTGAACTCAGCACCACGATTGAAGTCTTCTGACATTAAACTCACAATAAGACAGTGTGTCGTGTTTCTTGTTAAGTTGCTCCAAGATGCCTCAACGCACACGCACACACACACACACACATTCCATCTGGCAGAATTGTATCCTTAAATGAGCTCTGTGTTGTAACACATGATAGTTTTAGTTATCTCAGTCCTCTCTGACACTATTATCTCTAAATAAAAGTATGATTTACAGTAACAACCACTATCCATAGGTTACAACGGAATAATTAATGTGAAATAAGATACAAACAAATAGAACGTTTCTATTACTCTATGCTTTATTCTGTGCTTTATTCATTAAGTCTTTCACGGCACACTGTTCTGTTAAATACAGACCCAAGATGGACGGGCTAAATAACAGCTACATAAGGCTACGGGTTAAGGAGTAAACTAAATACAAACACAGCTGTTTACGGTTTACAGCTCTCATAGCCTAAATGAGTTTATCGTTGATTAAATAGACTTTTAATAAGCCTTTAATAGAAGTAAAAATACACCAGCTTGATGAATGCAGTGCAGGCTTCTAACCAACACAAATCTGTGTAGTACCGGATTTGAGTTACTCTCTTCTTACTTTTTTAGTTATTTTCTCTATATTTGTAATTTAGCACCTTTAAGATTTCTCTTATGTCCCTTTTTGTTATTTAGAATGGTAGCTAAATGTAGACAATATTTTCCTCTCTAAAATATATAATATAATAATAATATGGTAAACTATAAGATACATTTTCGACTTGACAAGTAAAGGAGGAACTCGACGAGAAAAGTTTGAACTTGATCAGTCAGTCAATGGAATCGTATTCTATTGTTGATGTTTCCCTAATAAATCCCATTTATTGACTTACTAGGATTTTACAATCAGAAAAATGAAGAAATTTCCTTATAATTCGCATTTCTATAGTTGGACAGACGGGAAAGAAATCCCTGGAACGATCTATAAGGCCTTGATCGTGTTCACTTTTTGAGAAATTTTACCTAAATCTAGAACGCCAGTACTGCTTCGTCAGGAGAATAAAAAAAAGAGAACTTGTCATTGTTAAAATCTATAACATGGCATTTCATTAAAGAAACACGAGAAGAGACATTCCATCTTGGTGAGTCTATAAAGTATATCAATCCGTCCATAATAGTGAGATGGGGATGAGTGCTCCTGTCGATTGGAATAAGTATTTCCCAGCAGGCTTGTCCCTCCCCGAATAAATCCTCAATATATTCTCCTGCCGGTTAGAAGATGTCTGAATGACAGCGAGGTAGAAGTTTGAATCCTTAGCCTCTCTCAGAAGCCAAACAACCTACGTGTTTAACGACATTTCCAACGACATTTCTTGCCATGACGTTATTAACAGTTCGCACAGAAGGATCACAGGAAGAGAGACGCGGGAGAGCGCCCGAGCATGACATACCATCATCCATGTCCTCCAGGATATTGACTTTGGTGGTGGGGTGGTGCATCCCCAGACGGCCCCCGACCGGCAGCGACAGGGTGACGTTGAAGCTCTCCTCTCCCTCGTAGAGAGAGTCGTCGATGATCACGACGCGACACTGCTTCTCCCTTTCACCCCTGTCAAAGCGAAGGACGCTGACATGCTCCTCCAGACGGGAGATGTAGTCCGAGTAAGACAGAACGGTGGTGGGAATCGTCCCCGTGGCAGAACCTTTGAAGGGACAAGCATGAATTAAAACCTTTGGTGCAGTGGTTATTAAGCTAAGTAGCGTATGCAATATACTTATTTTCTCCACGTGGATTTCATGGGATTTCACTTTAAAAGGAGAACACTCAGGCTAAAATCCGTACGTCTTCAAACACTGTGAGAAGTAATTGCAGTAATTTGAATTCTAACAAAGAGAGTGCTCCTGCAACTTTTAAAGGACCGCCTAACAGCTAATTTACACACAGAACTGACGCGTTTAGGCCACTTTCCATTTGTGAGAGTGCAAACGCAGAGTAAATTCTAGTGTGTTGGCCGTGTTTTAAACACATCTCACTAGCACCGTCAAATGGGGGAAAAAGCCCCCGACCGTCCACCATAAAAGAGGGTACTATTATCATCCCAATACAATATAATGGAGAAGGACATTTCTGATGTAACAGTAAACACGACTGTAACTTCTGCGTTCATTCTGAAACATAGCAACGTTTTTGTTTTTTTACTGTGAGCAGCGTACAAAAACAGAAACAAAATTCGAGTTAATAATGTCGCCGTTATGATTATGTACTGAAATCTGTGTAACTCATTATCTATTTAGACATCGGATGTGTCAAGAAAACGTCCATCGAGGCTTAAACACAGGATCGACCATCAAACACAACACCGGTCTGTCCTGAAAGACGGTGGAGACACACTGGGAGGGAGGAGGTGAAGAAAGGGCTCGTCGGTACCCTGCTGCGTGAAGCAGACCACCATGAGCTCCTGGCTGATGTCTCCGCTGCGGTGCACTGGGATGAAAAGCTCGCCGACGTCTTCCTCCACGCTGTGGATCTGTTCAGGGAAGAACACCGTTGACTCTGGAGGAGAAAAGAGAACGAGTAGAGGAAGTCAGAAGAAAGAGAAAAAGTCCAATGATACGTATAACAATCTGCCAAAATTCACAGCACATCAGCCCTTCAAGGGCTGATACAGGCTTTTGTTCCGGCTCTGAATTAGTGAGCAGCAGCTGAAATGTTTTTTTTTCTATTGAAGTGGTAGTCCTGCAGTGTGCTTATTCATATTCAAAAATAACTCCCCATCACAGTTTTGGGTTTGACGCCACCAGAGGTACTCTTCAAAGAGACCCCTTTGGAAGTCCTTCCCACTGCCTGGTGTGTCACAGACAACAGCACATGCAAGCCTCTCCGTTCGTCCCACAGAGGGCAAGCGGCTGCGCGTTTTGACACATCAACTCCTCCGAGGGGGGGTCAGCATCTGATTTATCATTTTTCTCCTGTTCTCCACTTCTTTCTCTCCGTCTCTGGGAGGAGTTTGTGATTGAGGGAGAGACTTAGAGCCAGTGAAAGGATCATTTATCAAAGCGTAGAACTTACTGGCGTTATAGAAACAATAAATACTGGAGCATCTTTTCCACAGACGCACGGGGACCAATAAAAACAACAAGCAGAGTGGAATGAGCTCCAGCCCGTCCCAGATCTTCTGACAGAGAGATGACTCTTTGTGGATGACGTCATCAACATAAGACAATCTTAGTCTTCTCTTTCGGTAGCTCTCCGTAAACCGGTCTCTCTCCGCTCAATCTTCCTCCTCGCTCACTTAATTTCTCATTTCTATCTGTCCAGACAATCTGTCACTCCCCGGGGGGGTACAGGGACACGCGACAGGGGATTAGGTTCCCTTCTTCACCTATCACCGCTTTACTCGGATCATCTTCTCTCTCCTCACAGTTTTTTTCAGATTCCACCTCACAGTTCGCTGTTCTCGTGCGTCTAAATGACACCAAAAGGTTATGAAAGCAACATTTCAGCCAACCGGGTCAAGTTCCCCTCAAACAGCAATTCTGAAACATTCATGCAGAGAGAAAAAGCTTTTACAGAAAATGTTTCCACCCGAGGTTGCTTATAGTCGTGCCGATCATAATCTGTTTGGTTTGCCTTTCTACACCTAGAACATCTCCATTATTAATAATTTCATGAATATCCCATGGATGCAGGGATATGTCCTTTGTTCCTACTGTCTGACTGTTGTTTTGTGCATTTTACTTTACCGTTTTTAAAAAAAAACATGCCCACCAGCTAAATGTCTCAAATGTATGCGTGAATGTGAAACAAAACAGCCAGCAGACCTACAACTGATGACTATGTAAACACTGAACAACACCAAAACACTGTTCAGAGCAGCAGCGAGCTCTCAAAGCAGTTCTTCATGCAGCATGGGTCCACTATTAGTCAAGAGACTGTCCATCCCAACTGCACGAGGATGCGCTTGGCTACAGCTGGCCTTGCAATCTCAAAACTGAAACCAAAGACAAAGCAGAAAACAGTTCTTCATGGTTTAGTGGAAGGACCTTGGCGTGGAAGGCTGTGGGGAACCCGGTTCTACTGACATATGACGACTCTGCTGTCTAGAGTAAGCGAGACAGATATGTGGCACAATGCTTGTAGCTACTGGCAGCAAAAAGCCCCGCAGCAGGCTGCCACCTTCATCTGCAGTCTGCGCTGCACCTCCATTATATATGATGAAAATCACAAAGTTTTACAGGAGTGAACCTATAGGCTATCGCACACGAATAACAATAATGTTTTGTCTGCTGGAGCACTGGAAGCGGGTGCACCAGAGGAGAAGCCCACTCCTTAATCAAAGTCGCGCCCGGCAGATACAGTTGGGTGGTGTCGGGGACACAGAGGGTCGGTGCCGTTAGAACAAATTCAGCTTGTTACGGCCTCCTTAATTTGGAAACGCCCGAGTGTTGTGGGGGAGAGGGGGGGGTTGACTCTCCAGCTAACCAGAAGACCAGAAAAGGGCAGTTTTCATCATTAGAGAACCGCGCTTGAGGACAGCTTAGGCCACAGGCCTAGATGGAGCTTCACTGGTCCATTAGAGTACAGAGGGGCACATCTCTGTCACATTAGACGATCCCCGGAGATGACAGGAAGCAAACCTTAGACCACCCTCCACACACAACATAATTAGCCCACAGGGGAGGATAGACTGAGGAGGAGGAATGCAAGAGGAGAGAGAGAGAGAGAGAGAGAGAGAGAAGGATAACGACATAGTGAAAGCGAGGGAACAAGAAGACAAATGAGAGAGAGAGAGAGAATGAAGACAGCAGCTGTTGTGCGACACTACAATGGAAGCCTCGGTGTTTCCATCTTTGTTTGCAAATCTATAATTACTTAAAAGTTGGACTGAGGAGAGACAAAAAGGGGGTGTCTGTAAAAGCTGCAGACGAGTGAATCCGACTTTGATGAAGCAGCAGAGAAGCCAGTCTGTCACACTACCCAATATTCCAATAGCATCAGTCTGCAGGCAAAGAGACAAAGAGCGAACATCGAGGACTACAAATGATTCAGGTGAAAAAGGGGGCCGACTGAGGTTTGTGTGCGAGTGTGGGTTGGAGACTTTTCTGACTTAACATAAGGGTTCGACCAAGGTTGACAATTGCTAAACAGCAACATGATATTGGGCAGGCAACCATTGGTTTGGCACAATGGCAAGAGAAAAAGGAATAAGTTAGTCTCTACAACAAATCCCCACCGGTTCCTGCTCATTCCCCGGGGAGTCGCCGTAGCCTCTATTTCTAAAGCATCATGTTGACAATTCTTCATGCTGTTTGCGCCAAGTTGACTGATGCTTCACAGAAATGAATGTGATATATGTTTTTTTTTCATTCCTTTGTAACAAGAACATTTTAATGGTGGTTGGGATTTTGTGTGGGTTGCGTAATGACTGTCCAAAAATCCCTGACTCCCTGTTGTATCGGCCTGTTCATAAGGAAAAAAAAAAACAACTTTGGATATTCTATGAATACTCCAGAATTGCATTGGCAAAGTTCCAGTTTTATTCAAATTAAGAATATTTAATGAAATAGGGACCTTCAACTGACTAAAAAACAAATTAGAGAAAATACAGAATCAATCAATGTTGTTTTCTATGTGATACAATTCTTTATAATCTCATAGAGCTTATAGAGAAGTTGCCGACTCTTAATAGTCTGCAGTGAGCCTAAAACTATACATGAGTGTGCCGAGTGCAGAATATAGGGTCTGACCATCACTAGGATCCAGGATCTCAACTGTTGCTGCAGCAGGGAACTCCATCACCCCCATCACCGGCTCCGACAGCAAAATCTGGAAGGTCTCTGCCCGCTCGTACTTCCCGTCAGCCAGTATCCGAACCCGCCACGTGGCTCTGGACTGTCCCGGGTTGAACTGGACCTGCCTCTGGGACTTGCCCTTGAAGTCCTTGTCCTTGTTGGCACTACCATCCTGGGTGCCAATGCCTGAAGGACAGAGAAAGTGATTGAGGTAAAATCTCAGGAGAGGAGGTGAGTAAAAAATGAGACACAAGTAGAGATAAACCAAAAAAAAGGACCATTAAAAGGTGACAGGAGTTTGAGTGAAACAGATGAAAAACAGATCTGATACTCACACCTTTTTAATGTTGTTCAGAGAGCGGTGTGAGAAAATAGGGTGCTATTTCTCTTTCACTGATCACTTACTGAGCCTCGGGAATGTGTGAAATGAATTTGTGACTGAAGCGTTTAAATAAGCGTCTTCCACCTTGCCGAGATGGATTATCTACCGCGATCTTTTCCCCAGGGCAAGCTAATCATGCAAGTCTGTGTTTCTTTTCCTCTTCAAATGTCTCTTATTTCATTGATTGTAGGGGTTCAATTTGAATGCACTTCACAACAATCCATCTCATATTCATGCTCATTAATACACCTTGTTCAACCCAGCAGAGATTACTGGAACTACTGGGTTTCACATCAAAAGCTCATCGAGGAAACCAAGGTGCCATCAGCCACACAATAATTGTTATTTACGCTCGGAAAATATGCTGTTCATACTCCTTCGGCAACATTCATAGAGCCTCATGAGAACAAGGGGAGCGGAGCAATGGCACGGTGACGCATGTGCCTGTAGATAAAAAAGGATTTGTTTTCTGACACAAATAAAAAAGAAGGCAACAAACACATGCAGATGAGACTGGATGCATTATATCATACGCACACTGTAAGATCTGCGCTGTGCGCATGGTGTGCAGAATTTAAGGTGAGAACAACACAAGGAGGAGTAAACACTTTTACACAATCACACCAATTCACATTTCTCTAACTGTGATGACTTCCTATGATTACATGTTTTCACAAACTCCCAACATGACTGTTAAAAATGTGGCCTGAAACCTCGAGATTGTTGTGAATGGTTTGTGGCGTTAAGCCGACCTGCTACCGTCTGTGGTCACAACAGAGAACCCGCATCTTACCCGATCTTCACACAGCAGCACATTGCACACACAGGGACGGCAAAGGCATTGCTATCACTCAAATTGCTTTGGTTTTTTTTAGAATTCTCTCAGCAGGAAAAGCTAATGATGCAGCTATTGCTCATCGGCGGTTCCACTAATGCAACACAAGAAATCGACTCCTCGGGGGGCTTTTTGAAAGTAAGTTCAATCCGATTAACTCAAGACTCGGTGATTCCTTCATGTATCCGCTTATTCTGGATCCAAATGTATGAATTGACAATTTGTTTGAGAATTAGATGCTTTTGGAATAAAAAATGATATTTTATGATTTAAAGAAGCACCTGCTCCCAGCGTGTCACCTTCTGTGGTGTCGCTCCAACTTAAATATAACCCTATATCCCGACCCGCACCCTCCGCTATGCATCTGCAAAACTGCTCGCCCCCCCTCACTGAGAGCAAAACACTCGACTAGATCATAACTCTTTGCTGTCCTTGCTCCGAAATGGTGGAACGAGCTCTCTGAAGACACCAGGACCGCAGAGAGCCTTCACATCTTCCGCTGCAAACTAAAGACTCACCTCTTCAGACTCTAACTCGACTAAAGACTAACAAATTGTAGCACTTAGATTGCACTTATAACGCCACTCATCTACATCAAATTGTAAATTGGCTTATTTGATAAAATTGTACTTTCTTGTTTTTCTGAGTTTGTACCCTATGGATAAACTAATAAAAATAAACAAACAAAAAATGGATAAGCTAATAAAGCGACTATGGAAGTCGCTTTGGATAAAAGCGTCTGCTAAATGACCTGTAATGTAATGTAATGTAAATTCTCAGATTCAACCTTTTCTGTGATGATAATGCGGTTAATGTTGACAACGGCCTTCATTTGTTTACTGCACAGCGTAGAAGTATAATTACCACAAGTACATGTGGTTGCCAAACTGCCAAATGTGACTCTGCCACAAACAAAGACTACTCTATAGACAAGATGACTCAACAATTGTACCCATAACGGTTGATTATTAGGAATCACATTTTTCTCATCTTTCTAGCTTGAAGATTAGTTGCTCCACTCAAACACACACACACACACACACACACACACACACACACACACACACACACACACACACACACACACACACACACACACACACACACACACACACAGATCTGCTTGTAATGGAGAGGCTCAAAAACACTCCCCGTAGGAAAGAGATGAGCATCGCCTAAGGTCGCACTTCCTCAGAGCCACAGTCCCGTCTGTCACAATAACACACAAAACAGAAGTAGCTCACAAACACAAATTATTTATTTTTATACCCGGAAAGTTTCCTTTCTCCTGCTTTGCATCAAGTGCTCTCGCTTCGCAAAACAGGGACCTTCAAGCTAGGATAAAGCCCGGTTCACAATCATTTATTTATCTCTCAGAGCAACGACATACCAGAATACCAGAAAGGATCAAAATTAAAAAGCAGTGTTCGAAAAATAAAAAAGAAGAATGAGAATTCAATTTCATCATGTTTACATGTTGTGGTTCTTCGAATTACTGATAAAGGGAAGAAGATCTGAAAAAAAGAAGAAAGGACAGAACTGGAAAGGAAAGAAGTTCAGAAGTTGAGATGAGGACTTGAGAGTTTCATGAAAGGAACCGAGCGAGGAAACAAGAGGCAAAGCCGGAGAGGACCAGCGCAGACACACTGCACTGGGTGACTACCACAGAGGATGAAAATAAGGATGTGGGAAGATAGATCAGGAAGTAAAAGGGAATGTGCGCCGCGCTGGAGAAGAAGGTATAAGACGAACGCCAAAGGGAGGAGTAGGTGGAGGAAGAATATAAGACCGCCTGTGGCATTGACCACCAGGACTATCACGCAGCGTTACGGGGGGGGGCGAAGAAAAGACATGATATCTTTTAGGAGGAGAAGCAGGTCAGAAGCAAAAAGAACAAACATTGTTAGGTTAGATTCTTTCTTCTTTCTTTATAAGAAGTGCGGCATAAGATTGGAAGAAGTGCTCCAGTCTGATCCCGACGCTCGTGTCCGGCCTCATTCTGCCTGAGGTCGGCTTCGTGGGGGCATCGTTGATCGTTGATCTCACCTCTGCTTTCCTCCTTCCCCGATCCTCTCCACCCGCGAGTCCTGCAGTGACGGAGCATCTGCAGCGGCTCTCTCCCCCGCCGTTGCCTGGCCGGCAGCACAGCAGCTTTTATCGGCTAACGCTGCAGCAATCTCTGGCTGTCCAACTTGCGGACACAATGCATGGCCGATCAAACGGAACACGTCTGCATACACACAACTGCGTCATGCAGTATCTGTCTGTGCCAGCAGGTCAATGTGTGGCTTTTGATTTGACGTTTACTCTACATGGCTGTTGTTGATCATCTGGGTTTTTCATAAGTACTGTATATTGGCTGAACTGACTTGTTGCTGAAGCAAAGTGAAAATGAACTGGCAACTAACTAATACATAAAAGTCACGTTTTGAGCAAAAATGCCATCTAATTTCTAATTTTCCATGTTTCTTATGTTTGAAGTTTTAATGCATTTGTATTTCAGACTGCTGGTTGGACAAAACTAGAAGTTAAATGGTGTCAAACTGTGCTCTGGGAAATCGTGATTGGTATTCTATTTTGTGACATTTCGTGAACCAATGATGACGCAATCCTAAAAGCAGCAAAGAAGTTTGTATGGGCGAGACTGTGTTTTTAACTGGCTAAATGAGCTCAATAAAAGTGATGTTGTTTTTCACTGCTCTTTAACAAAGAGTAGATTGGAGACAACAATAGAGACAAGGTGAGGATGGCAGCAGTTTTTGACCTTGCCTTCAACCGAGCATGACAGCAAGTCTGTGTTGTGCGTGATTGTTCCTCTTTCCACAAATTGGAGGTAAACAGGGATTCTATGCTTCTTATCTGATGTGGATGGAAAAAACGTAAACAAAGAGCTTTGGCCTCATAGTTTTTATTTTGTTATTATTTGTATTATTTTATTACAGCTTGAGTCCAGGCAGCATACCGGTTTTTGTTTGTGTTTCGGTGACAATCTATGATATAAAGGTGGATTGGGGCAACTTAAGGAGAGGCCAGTCAAGCGCCTCCTTCACGGAAGCTGCACAATTATGCACCGAGGCGGGGAGGAAACTAAAAAGTCATTAAGCACTCTTTCAAACACATGAAAGTTAAATAATCAAAGAGGAACACAAGCAGAGCCGAGACAACACTGACTTAATGAGATATTTATCGTGCATCGACACAAACTACAGCCTGATAATGTCTTCAATTGAAACCAAACATCTATCAAAAGTATATTTAGTGTGGTGGCGCTCTATTTATTGTATTGATTGGTGTTCCCGCTATTTTGTCCACCTCAAGTATGTCACCACTGTGTTATCGGTTCACTCGCTCCATTCTTCTGTTCACCAGTCCAGCAAATTGAAATCTATGAAAGTTATTAGGCTTCGATCACTTTCTGTTTCTCATTTTGTGCGCCCTCAGCGAGACCATATTTCATCATCAGAGCCAGACTGATCAACTCCGGGTGTATCGGCACACAAATACATGGTGCGCACGCGCTACATTTCGTTTGAAATACTCATTTCAGGTGCAGGTGCAGGTGCTGTGTGGCAAGATCCACTTTTAAATATTTCTTCTCTTTAAGCTTCCCTCAAGTGCATGAATAGGCCTCCGCTCAACATTTTGCGGACATGTCAGTCAAGAAGGAAATAATTGATGATTGATGCATTTTAGCACCACATCTACATACAATGCAAGTTGTTGATTCAAAAGGATGTCTTGAGAGCAAGTAAGTGTGTGTGTGTGTGTGTGTGTGTGTGTGTGTGTGTGTGTGTGTGTGTGTGTGCGCGTGGTGAGAGATAACCAGGTGCTCACGCACAAACTGTGCAAAGAGATGAGAGTCAGAATGAAAGCTTTCATGTGTGCCAAAGAGACACTCAAAACCTTCCCGAGAGCAATCACATATACACACACTTGGACACACACACACACACACACGCACACATGCAAACCAGCAGGTATATACGGTAAGTATTAAAACTTACATAAACCGCTACACTAGGATGCTAACACCTGACCTGGCGATTAAAAGGGATCAGAGTGATGATGAGAAGCGGGAGAGGGTAAAAGCTGCTTACAGCGGAGGCTTCTCCCGGACTGAGCGAGCTGCAGCATGACAAAGTCCGGGATAATAAGAGCATTCGGGGACAAACTCCACCTCATCCTTTTAACCTTCGAATCCATGCAAACACTGACATTAAATCACCTCCATCTGCTGGTCAAAAAGCTTATTCAAAAAAGGCTGGCATTGAACTGTGTGCAGCTGGCTTGGTTTGAGCCAGCAGTCTGTTCATTGCCCACCATTTGTTTTGTGCGGTGATGGTGAGTTTCTACGGATGACGCTCACTTTGCTTTTAAGCTCAATCTTCTCCGTCTGAAAATCTTGTGGAATTTCTGGTTCATTTTACAGCCGAATAGAGCAAAAAGGCTACGACAAGCCATTCATAAGCTAACTAAAGCAGAAGCAAAACCAGCAGGGATTATTGCAAAGCTGGAATTTAAGAAAAAAACAATTCAAGATTTTGATATTTTAGTGTATCGAGCATCTTTCACAAGGTCAGTAGTTCACTGATGCCTCATTTCTAATGCATGGTTTGGCTTGAGAAAACTTGACTCAAATCCCCTTTGGCATCATTTCCTTTCCCCCTGCAGATTGTACCCCCTTAGTGTTGGAAGGATTCTCAGCTAAATTCTGTAGCGATGCTGCAGGAACAACATGGCACTCATTTAACCCTTTCATCGGCAACCAAAAAGAGGAACGTCTGCAAGTTGTCACCTATGTGGCGTGGTTTTGGCTCCTGCAATTTTTTGGAATTTATGGGTTCCAAAAAAAGTAGGCCTGTCAGGTACCAGACGTGCCGTACGATGCAGACGGAAGTTCTTCTTTTACACCGCTGTTGAAGCATCAAACCCACCTACACAGAGCAGCTCGACAAAGACGAAGGCATTGGCTTGCTTCTCCTCGCGTCTATTGTCATAAATTGGGCTACACATTGCAAAACGCAGTTGTAAGGTCCAACAACGAGCTGCCGTTTATGAGAGGAAAAGGAAAGAAAAGTTGCCTAACCAATACTTTTACTCAAAATTACACTGGAGTTTAATTGTATCCACCTGCTCTATGGAATGTATTTTTAATACCTTTTGACTTACTTTCAGCCCACTGTTTTCTATTACTCTCCATCTGTATACAATGTGGTGGTCGAATTGACAGACTGACCAAGAGTCTTCAAAAGTTATCACACACACACAGGGTCTTGGATTGGAGTACAAGAGAGTGAGAGGGACGGAAAGACAAACAGACTAACCGATGAAAGACGTCTCTCCCAGGTAGCCTCTCCGCCTCAGCACCACCTCCAGGAACGCGTCCTCCTCGTCCACCACGTAGTAATCTTTCTCCAGGGAGATCCAGGCCCAGTCCAAACGGAACAGCTGTCCCTTCAGCCTGTTCCCACCTGGACAAAATACATACACACATGAAGACATTTTGTTTCTCCCAGTTGCACACGTTTGGTTAAATTAGTTTCTTTCTTAATATCCGTATGTAAGTGGGAACGTCTCTGTTGGGACTGTATGTGCTAGAATATGTCTGTGCTCATTTAACTACCAAATGCCGAGTTCAGAATTGCACTGGGGCAATTACTGTGAAACTGTAACGAGGAAGAAATGTTTTAATTATTTGCTTGGTGCCCTCTAAATGTTCCCAACACATCTGCTGCTGAATATTTACAGATATAGAAAAAAGCACCATACAAAACTCTACCTTTCTATATCTAACAGTCAATCTCCTCATCCGCTCTCTAATTAAATTCAAATCTCCTTTGTTGAACAGCATTTGCTTTCACGCTCGCGCCCATCATCCGGAGAATGTGATGTACGTCAGCTAATCAGTGTCAGTAAGGCCGAGATCCTCCTTGTGGCAGTGGCAAGTGGGTGGCATCAAACTTGAGAGCCCCACCCCCTACACGGAACCCGCCGGTCCAAACCTAAAATTAGCCTCTGTAATAAGAAGACGGGGGCTCACGTGTCTCAAATAAAATTAAATAAAATTAAATAAAATTAAATATTTACAGCAGCTGACCTGTCGTACAAATAACAGTTGTTTCTGGGAAAAATTGGCTCCTCCCACCCAGCGTGCCGTCGTGACGCCGACTGATTTACTGGCGATTGCCGCTGCCTGTCACAAAGTTGCCACCCACTTGCCACTGCCACAAGGAGGATCTCGCTGTCACTCATCAGTGTTGCAGACGGCCATGTCAGTGCTAAGCTAACAGAGCGCCTCAATAGCTGCCACCTCAACAGGCAGGCAGGAAGAATGCGGCTTTGTGCGGCTAATTACGCCGCCGCTGTAAAGGAATGAGCCCTGCAATAATGAAAGGAAATAATGAGGTAGTGTTGTAAAACCTGAGTACGGATCATTTTCCCTTTCTTTTTCTGCGTTTGCATAGTGGTAAACAAGGATTAAGTATGCATAGCATTGCTGTCGGTTCAAAACTAAATTTCAGAATAAATGGTTTGTGCGGAAATGCAGAGCTGGAGGACTGTTTGCTTAAATATACTTAGTTCCATTGGGGACAATTTAAAAGCCGTTTGTTCTTCACAAGCCATTTATGAAATTCTGAAATGCTGGAGCGGTAAAGCAGTTAAAAGCACGCACAGCACCTCCGTTTTAGAGGTCATAAAAGGCAGAAAGGAAGCATAGTGGTTTTCCCCTATCCTGATAAATTAAACCCTCCTTCTCGACAAATACACAGTTTCAGCTCTCCGTTGGAATAAAGCTCTCTCGTGTTATGCCGGCATGGTGCTAAAACGCAGCAGAGGTGAAAACTTTAACACTTTTTGTCTTGACAGAAGTAGCTATAACATACTGAGGTGAGGAGACAGCTAATACAACCAGAGCTCATGAGACCTCCAAAAAACACAGAGGCCAAGTTTGTGCTTCTCTCATTGGTTGAAATGACAAAATCTCACACAGAGCCTTGAAAACGCACATAACTTTTCAATCCCAACTTCACTGCAACCTTCACTTTCATCCCAGCTTCCAGCATAAGCTGCTTGAGATGTTAGTGTGTCTCTGTTTGTGTGTGCATGTTCGTGTGTGTGAACCAGTCCTTGACCTCTCACTAAAGGACTCGTGCAAAGACAATAAGCATCTGAGTCCGAGGGCTTCAGAGTGTCTCATTCCTCCAGGATAAAAGACCTCTCACATGTGCTGACCATACAAAAAAGCAGCTTTTAAATCATCTTCAATGGAGCTAAATTCACTTTACGGCGTCTTTCAAAGGCTTTACAAAAGACAACTCAACACAACACACTAGTTGTTTTTTTTAGAACCAATTAGGGGTCATGGATTCTGCAGAGCAAGCTTCTAGGATTGGGACATTAGAAAATCTGCCGTTTGATGCTTGTCTGAAATGTGGGAACATCTTTATAGCATATTGACTGATGGCTGCATCTTTGTCTTGTAATCATAAAGGGTTTGATTCCAAAGGTTTCCACGTGTTCAGCATTGCAAGTGAACATGTGCTGAAGGTCGTCCTAATTCTCTCACTGTAGGGACACGTTGGACTATGAGGAAAGTGACTATTGGTTTGTTCTTTCGGGGGGCCAGAAAGAGCTCTAAATAAATGCTAAGGTTGGAGGAAGAGGGGGGAAACTGTTTGTTAGGACAACAGCTTTGACAGAGAAACTATAATGTACAACGGAAATAAAACACCGGAGAGCAACTGCGTATCGTTCAAATGTTTTCCAGTTAAATATATCATCTTTTCATACAAGCTCTTCTCTCACAGTAACCCACACCGTGCCTTTCTCAGCAATCATTCAAAACATATGCAGATCCTTGACCCAGTGTTTCCCCGTCAAATAAGGGGGGTGCCTTGCCCCCCAAGCGCCACCTCCGCCCCTCCAAGAAAGTGTGACATTTTAAATACATAATTTTTAAAAAAGAAATGTGCGCACGCCAGTTCCGTCCCGACACAAAGCTTCAGTCTTAAAAAGTCAGGGCTTTGTCTCTTCTTGAGTTTCAACCATGTGTCTGAGTGTTTTTTGTGATTGTGTGAGTCTGTGCGTTCTCCGGGAATTGACATTCAAAACCCTAGCGTTTCACAGAAAAGCAATGCCGTCTGCTGCTCGATACATTTCTTCTGCTGGTGGCGATGTGGCCGATTACATCTCCATCTGCCTCTTGTACTCCTTGGTACCGGAGTCCCCGTCTCTCATCACAACTGGCAACCAACAAACTCAATGATCTCTTGAACCGGGGGCAAAACACTAGGAAGTAGTCGCCAAACCTGCTATTTATTTCCCTGGCAGAGATTTTCTTTTTTCACAAAGTATGAAGCAAGTGAGGCTTTGCAACACCCTCTCTGCTAAAATAGACTACCAGTAATACTTTTGTTGTGATAGGAGCCCACACACCATCCATCTGACAAGAGTTACTCTCCAGACAAATCGCAATGCTTGACAAAATACAAACAACTTATTCCACCAAAGGGTGCTTCATCACCTTTCAGTTTATACTGACAATTGTGTGCCAGTCGCCGTACAAACAACGCTTGGGGTGTGTGCAACTAGTGGCAAGGAGGATCACACAAAGACTGTGATGGAATCAGCACTCAGCTGTGCCTTTTTTCTACAAAGTGCGTGTGTGTTTTTCTTTTTCAGCAGTGTGTGTGTGTGTCGGTCTCTGTGCGTATCTGTGTTTGTATCCCACTACACCTCTCGCAAGACAATCAGCATGGTAGAGGAAACCTCCTGAGGTGCGGTGAGATAAATCAGTAGGCTGACCAGGAACTGACGGCCCCGGGCGAACGTGAGTATTTAACGGGGTCGAAGTGGAAGCCGACGCTCGTTCTCGCTCCCCGTTGTTAATTCAGCGGGATCAAGTACATCTTGACTGTCGGACTGCCGCTTCACAAATTATTTTCCACCAGTCACCGCGTTTGATCAACCACTTCAAAAGACGTCGAACCCAACAAAATCACACACAGGATGTGCGATCGGGTCTTTGTGCGCCTTTGGGCAACACGCAACTCCAGGGACACGTCCATTACGCTTCTCGCTCTTATCGGTTAACGAGATAAAAGTTCCATACAACCGAGTAACGTATCCCCCCCTACACTCAATCGCTACAAGGCATGACTTTGCTCCAGAAACACCAAAAGCGACCTGGCACACGAAACCATACGAAACTGACATCTGGGGCAGAGGATCCTCGCTCCTTTGAAGTTCTTGTGGTGCACTTAATAACCCGGGAGGTCTTACACTGATGCCTACAAAGACAGCCGCATACGACCCTGGGCATAGCTTAAAGGGGGACGGCCCGGGGACCAAGAAATTGTGGAGCCTCGCAGGGTGCATGCGTGCGTCTGCAGTTGTGCACGAGTGTGCAGTCATACGCTTGTTTCAGTGTGTAAACGCCCCGCACGTTGAATTTTGGCTTTTTGTGCGCATCACATAACTCCGGCGCGCCAATCACCTCGGCGAGTTCCCCGTGCTGCCAATGTAATATTTAACAGAGAGATTAGTTTAATGCACCTCGGATTAGTTACTTGCTCTCCTCAGAGAAAACGTGTCGAAGAGCAGAGATGACAAACCTTCTCCTCGGTCGTATAATTTAAATACAAAGTAAATGTTGAGATGCCTTCAAAATCAAACAGCGATGGCAGGGGTAGTTTATGAAGGCCATCAAATAAAAAAAAAATGCGTGAAAAATGTAACAGATAAACTGAAGAAGAAAATCCACTGTCTATGGCTTTGCATGTATTCAGAAATGTAAATCAGAACGTTTCATGCTCTTTGTTTACTCTTGAGACTCGGGCGTTTCGTCACGCTCGCGTGTTTTCACATCGAGCCGTCGGCTGTCAAGTACAGAGAGATGCGGAATCAAAGATGATTTAACGTGGTGAAAAGTCTCTTCAAAAGTCTCGCCACTCATCTCAGAGCTCTAATTAGATCCGGATCGTCGCGGGCGACATTTGCGACCGCAGAATTTGCTGTAATCCCACAAGAGAGCGATCCATCAGCACCGCCGACTGACAGACGAACGCGGCGGGAGGGCACAGGCGGCGGGAAAACACGGCGCGGGCGTGACACTTACACCCGGTTCTGGTGCCTGAGACGGTCGGCGCTCGGCACAATAAACCGCAGCATACTTTCAGATTATCTCAGCGAGACGGGAGGGAAAAAGACTGTACGCGGAGAGGGGAAAAAAGGGGATATTGATAGGCGGTGAGAACGGACGGAAATAACTCGTTATAAAATGTTTTGTGAACGTGGGTTGCTGGGAGTAAAAGACTGAATAAAACACATCCGACAAGATCTGACACTGACAGTGTGGGAAGGGAGGTCTGAGGAGGATAAAGATAGGAGTCTGGTCCTGGGAGAAGTGAGTGACAGTAAATTCCTGAATGCAGCGAGATGAAGAAAAATCCACTTCTAAAGCCTGGCAACATGTGTGTGTGTGTGTGTGTGTGTGTGTGTGTGTGTGTGTGTGTGTGTGCGCCGCATGCTGATGTATACCTTCTGCCCTCATCTGTAAACTTCGCTGTACGGGTTGACAACAAAAAAGCGATTATCCTCAATGTGGAGCGATGGTGTTGAGTCATGTTGAGTCTATTGTTCTTTTTCACGTGCACAATGAGTTTCAACCATAACTCTGAAATTATTAAACTGCCAAAGATTTCAAGAACTCCTGCAATCTAAACCAGAATATTTACGTTCGGTGTGTTCATGCATGACTTTTCAGCCACGACATAATCTGAATCTGTCATTCTAGTATTGAGTTCTTTAAAAGTCATTATAGAAGCAGTTTTAAATTGACTGCACGCTTATGAACAATTTGCAATACTCAACAGAGGAGAGCCAAACAGAAGCTCTTCTGAACTGAACAGATTCCATGGGCACTCCAGATGTACAACCAATCACGCACAAACAAAGCTGACCGTGAAGACCTGGTGCCACTGCAGTGCAGTCTGTGAAGTAATTAGTCATCCGACGACAACAAGCAGAATCTAAAAGACACGTGTAGCATATTCAAGAGATATTTGTGAAGATCAAAGATATGTGACGTGCGTTCAGTGAAGGGTTGGTACAATGAAGGATTTAGAGGCTTCAGCTGATGTTTTTAAGGGGACACATTGTGAGGGTTGATAAAGCAGTGGCATCTCAGGGTTGCTATTGTGCAAGAAGGGAGAGGACGGGATGAAAAGATTATATTGAGACATGATGACAAAAAACTGGATAAGGAGAGTCTAAATATTTTGGTCTTATTCGACCTTCTCAGAAGAACTCCAACCTTCTGTATTGAAGTCTAATGAAATAAAAAATAAAAACAATTTCTATATATTTTATGTAGCTCGGTGTCACGCAAACACGCAATTCACCCACTTACCCTTTGGTATCCAGCTGCGGTTTAAGATGGCTCAAAACTTGGTAAATAAAACCCAAACTATCTGCACAACTTGAGTAAGTAAGTATGCAAATGTGTGCTGTCGTTATTCCAGGGAAATGGCCTGTTATGTACAAAAGGACTATTAGATCATTAATCCATCAGTCGATTGACTAAAAATAATCAGGAAGTACTGTGGTATTTGATATTCTATGCAGTTGTAGTAACACATGGTCCAGTTTCTCAAATTTGAGCATTTGCTTCTCTTTGTTGTCGTTTTTTATGCATCAGTAAACATAATACGTGCGAGCTTTCCGACACATTGATGACGTTTTTTTGACATCAACATGTCCCTACTAACTGATTGTCACTACTGACCAATCAGCAGTGGCACTCATCGACGCCTCAGGCCTGTATTTATTTCATGATTTTCATGTCAACTGAACATCTGACAGCCAAAGAGAAGCCTGGGGGAAAAAAAAGCGCTGTTGCCGCCCGTTTCAGTTAACTACAGTGATCCCAGCGCGTATGAACCTGTGACAGAAGGTCCTTCCTGACACTCGTCCCCCCCCCCCCGTAGATGAGCCTGTAATAGGGCCACGTAATTAGCGGTGGCTGCCTCGGAGCTCTGCCCAGCTCAGACGCCCAGGGCTCTCATTACCCACAATGCTGCCTGGGCTCTTAAATATCAAACACCTCTTTGTGCTGGAGGCCCCACCGGCACCTCAGCCCGCGGCTACCCCTCTGCGCTCTGCTGTGCGTGCCTGTGTGCGATCGTTTGTGTGTCTACAAGTGCTCGATTGGCGTACCTGCTTACATTAATGTGTGGGGTTTGGCGTGAGGCTCACTTCCTGTTAAATACGGGCTCGTGAGTTGAGGAGGATGTTTCGTTATACTTGCGGTGAATGTTAGCAGGATGTTAACAGGGTTTTACCTGGAATCAGTACCACCGACCCTCGTGGAAGGTAAAGAGTGGATCCAGTACACCGATGGAGTGATCATATAAACTCATGTTCTCTTTTAAATGCCATGGGCCTTTTTAATTAAGTCAAGAGCAGGTAGAAGAAAGAAAAGAAGCTTACATAAGCAAAAGGCTAAATGCATAAGCAGGGCGAAAGCATTAGTTGGTGTTTGCAGCCCGAAACTGTGCTATGCATTGTTTCCTTCTGTAAAATGCCTTTTTTTTAATCATATTTGATTGTAAAAGAAAGAATTAATGAACAGACACAGATCATTTGTTCCAAGTGCTTTCTGTACATACACACATGCTCTTCTTTTCAATGTACATTGAAGGGCCACCTGCTCAAAGAAACGTGTGGTATATATTGAATGTTGTATTTTGACAAATATAAGTAGCCACATGTTTGTAAGTACGTTGACGGAAAAAGATTAATTAACTTATAATGAAATAAAGATTTTATGACTAATGGACTCTATTTTTTCAATATGAACAACATTTCTATTACTGCTAATGCTATTCTATGTACATTGCTTTACTTTTCTGTGAACATCAAGACAAATACATCCACCTGTGACATTCTCCTTCACTGACTGATATTTCCTATACGAGACGCGCAGTTACTGATTACCGAACAAGCTGCTGCCTCACAAAATGGAACGTCATTTTATGCCTTTCGCAAGCAGACATATAGAATGAAACGTACATCGTTTAAAGTGGCCACTTCATGTGCGTAGATCAGGAAGTTAATGATGGTCATAATGCATCTCGAAAAAAGCCACGACACAGCAGATTTGAGCACTCTGTTGTTGATCACAGCAGATAAAGATGTATTTAGGTATGTTGTTTGAACTCAGAGTGCTCTTTGCTTTATGCACGAGAGTTGCCCTAAGAACTTACTCTAGCATAGTATAGACAGAACAACTGCTTCCTAAATTTGATCTAAAATATGTAGTATGGCTTGTATTCCCAGTATATGGTGGTTAATGTTGTCTCTATGCTGACAAAAATGCATTGAAAAACAAGCCTTGGTTGAATATAGAATTCATACAGTGTAATACATTAATAGAATCGCTCGTAGAATACAGTTACAGACAAAGGGCCTCATGCACATTTGTCAGACGAGTCTACTTTCAATAGCAGCTCACTTTAAAGGCAAATTCCGGAATCAAATGAAGTGAGAGCAAATATAAGCCGCTTACAACTATTTACAAAACCCAAATCCCAAAGATCTTTCTACATCCTGCAGGTGTGATTATCTTTGAATAGAAACTCAAGGAGAAGTTGAAGGATACAGATTCACCCAAAGAGATTAGTCTAAAGGTTAGAAGGAACATCCCTTACCCAAAACGGGACAGCTTTGATCTTCCCTTGAGCCAATTTGTGACCATCAACATTTTTTTTAAATGTCATTTTGTACAACATTCAGGATCTTTCTGCTCATGCTTTGAAAAGGCTATAAATCAAGATGCAAATATAAAGATAAAACGGCCTAAAAGAATCTTACCGTCATCCTCAACGGAGAAATGGAAGAGATCAGAAGTAGCATTTTCCTCCTTCCGTAACACGTAGCAGATATTCAGGTCATTGATATCGGCTGCAATGGGAAAGTAATCAGGAGTTAAGGGTGATACAACAGGTATAAAAATTAGGGCCACAAAAAGCACCAAAAAATGACTTTCAAATTTAGTAAAATCATATCAACCTAAAAACCAACAAGGAACGAACAGCACGTTTTGATGTTTTGATTAATAACACTCAAACTAAGGCCGTTGTCCCGCTATTGATGCACGTCGAAAACGTTAACCGTAATCCAATAATCACAAGCATATGGCTCAATCATGAATTGTATATCAAAGAGATTTGCTCTTGTGAATATTAAAAACATATATTCATGAAACAATTAGCATTTTGAGATAACAAATGTAAAGTTTCACAGAAATAGCCTCAAACACACTTTGAAGTTCTATTACGGCTTTCTGGCTTGTTCAAACACTGTCGAATAATTGTTCATAGATGTCCTTCCTTCAACACCATATCAGCGAGAGTAACAGCAGGCCTCTTGTATCACACTGATTCTGCTCCTTATCAGTACACAGCATGGACACTTTTCCACCAGAGAACGCATTGTGAAAGTCATGCATCCTTAATCCAGGACGATAAGGGCCGCAACCCCAAATCTCAGACGGCTCAAGCTGAACCAACAAAAAACGTTTAAATCCTCAAACCGCCAGCGCACTGTGTCAACAGCCCGGAAAACCAGGTGACAATGGATCTTTTAATAACAGACAAGGCTAAGAATGTTAAAAGCAGGATTGTGGTGGATTATTAGGGCACACTTCTACAGCTGTTTTTCCGAGCTTCTAGAATTACAGGGTTTCTGGCTACCTTTTTTCCCACCGTTCTCCAGAAACGTCCATTACAGCGCTGAAAAATCATCGAGACTGCGAAAGGGCTTGGCCTCTGCGAACCATGTCCTTCAATAATAGATGTCAACGGAAGGAGGTTCATAAAAGTATAAAAACCCCTGACTCCCGGGCAGGGACGCCTCTAAAACATCTTAGTTGGCTTCCTGTCATTGCCGGCCTCTCCTAACATGAAGGCAGAGACAACAAACTCAAAAGACGCCTACTTTGCTATTCGTTTTTTAAATGAGCCGAGTTATCGATCTGCTTGAAGCGTCTTCACCAGAGGGTTTGTGACGCAGCCCTGAACCCGAGGACCTTGCAGATGTAAAGTCAACACCATGAACCAGGGGCACATTGCTCATCAAATATTTAAAAAGAATGCCTCACGGGATGTGCCCTGGAAATAGGAAGAGTAAATACAGAGCGAGGGATTGTCTCTTTCACCTGGCTGATTCCTCTGACGAGCCTGTTTGCTCTCCCTCACTCACTCTCTCACGCCCTCCCGCCTCATTCTTTTTTTCCTCTCGTACCACCTACACCTCCCCCTTTCCACTCTCTTCCACTTTACTTGCCCCCCCTCTTCTGCCCCTTTGCCTCTCTTTCTAGCGGGTCTCTTGTCTCATCTGTGGCGTCTCTTTTATCATAGACCACGGGGCAGACAGTGGCTGTCTGATGTGTCTCCGCTGCCCCCGGCTGTGCGTATGCACAGCTTTGGCACAAGCAGGTGAATTTTCTCACTTGTTTGTATAATTGCCTCAGCGTGACACGAAACACTGCATTGATTGCATCGCTTTAAACCTCAATCAGCATCATTGTTGCCTTGATTCTGCGTGGGTTATCAATAAACAGACATGCACACACGCAGAAATTGGAAAATTCGGTTCAGGCGGCGTATTACTCTCTGTGCAGAAATGTTGAGAGTTTTTTGCGTTTTTAAAATGAATATTTAAAATGCAAAAATTGCTATGAATCAATTCAAACTTGTACTGACTGACCGGGTCAAACCACGAGAATAGCCCACAACTCTAATGCCATCCATCAATAAAAGATCTTCTCTGACCTTTTCACTTGATCCTGTACTTCTGTCCCGCTTCATTTAACAAACCACTGTAGAGAACATCAGATGTGAACATCTCCCCGGAGATGCAGGGGTAATAAATGATTCATCTCTAACTGTCTACGAGACATTTGTGCCAAACATCAGCCTCCAACTTTGGTCCGCTAATTATGCTTTGATGAGGAAGTCACATCTAAATCAGGACCACAAATTAACTATTGAATATCCCAAGTCTGCACTTGTGACACATATGAATAATTATTACTGCATAAATTAAAATCTTCTGAAACACAAATCAAAACGTACAGATTCGCAGGGGTTTTAAGCTTTAACATTTTACTTCAAGAAATAAAATTATATCAAAGTAATTATGTTTAAACCCACTCCACTCAAAATAAGCACAATAGGGAGACTCAACAATGTTTAAAGATGTTTGAGCGAGAAAATGCCATTTTTTACATGCTGGATTGATTTGTTATTTTAGTTTACTAATGATGTAATTTGATAATGTAATAGATCTTGAAACAGTAATCATCAGTTCTGTTTACAAGAACTGATAATTACCTTTTTAAATCCACAACCCCCTTCCCTTTTCTGTACATCCCTCTTACCACTGAACACTTAACAAAATCAGCATGATTTGATTATCCCATCCACATGCAGTATTGGTGCAGAGGTTATGCATTATAATACTGGTGGGTGTTTGTTTACCTTGACTAAATGTGTTGATGGAGTTGTTCCCTTGTCCCAGGTTAACGATGTAACCATGCTTGGGCTGCGTGGTAATGTGGAACACCAGGGAGGCCAGCGTGCTGTCTCTGTCCTCTGCTCTCAGCGCATTGGAGCTGATGGGGAACCCCAGCTGCCCTGTGGCCAAGATCTTTAAAGCGGGGGCCCCTTTATTCACCACGATCTGGGGGATGCCGATGTCAGTGGACGCGACGGTGATCTTCATGGTTTGAGGGCGGCGAGTCTCGAACACGGTATCGGGGAATACGTAAAAGTCAGTGTGAGTGCCATCTGTTACTGTAAAAGAGAAGGAGTCCTCTGATGATTCACTTCCGTCGTGTTTGTAGCTGATGAGGTTTTCATTAAGGTCTTGTTTGGTGAAGCTGCTGACGGCTGTGGACTGATTGTAAAGAAGTTTGCCGTGAACAGGCAGCTGGGTGATAGAGAATTTGAGCAGCCTCTCAGCTGTGTCCTGGTCCTCTGCAGTGAGCTCAAATGGTGTAATCAGCTTAATCTGCCCCTCTGTGACAAGCAAACTATTTACAGTAACAACAGGTTTCTTGTTATCGACGTCCACAATGGAGATTCTGAAGGTTCTGAAAATGGGGTTGTAGCCGTCAGTGACTTCAAATTCAAAGCTATCCATTTTTACCTCATCGTCTGAGGTGTGGATGTAGTAAATCTTGCTGCCAGCTAGCTGCAGCTGAGTGAAATCCCCAATGGGCATGCCGGGAGTATCTGTACACTCTAAGTGGCCCCTGACAGGGGCCCTTGTGACAGTAAATATTAAATTCTCATCAGGGCTGTTGAGGTCAGTAGTGCTGAGGAGATCCGTCGTTAAAGTCACTCTGCCACCTTCTCTCAGAGACACACCTTTACTGACCACATTGGGGAACACCATGTCAATACTGCCCACAGTGATGTAGAAGTAACGATCAATTAGCGGGTTCACGCCATCTGTGACATCAAATTTGACCAAGTCTCGGATGCCCTCCTGACCGTTGTGTGTGTAAAGTATAAGCCCCGAATCAACGTCGGATTGTGTGAAATTCATGCCTAGCGTGATGTTCTCCAGAGCCCCGGACGGTGTTTTCCTCTGCAGGAGACCCTGACCAGGCCCGAACCGGGTGATATATGTGAGCCTACTGTCATCTGAATCTAGATCTGTTGCTTTGAGCACTCTGTTGTTGATCTCTTTGGTCTCCCCAATTTCAACCTCCAGGCCGTCGTTGATGAGCATTCTGGGGGTCTCGTCATCAACAGGGATGATCATGACCATGGCTGTTTTCTGCACAGAGTACTTTCCATCAGTCAAAGTGACATCAAAGCTGTCCTCTGTTGTCTCTGAGTCGTCATGCTCATAAATTATACTTGACGCCTCCCTAATCTGCTCTAAAGTGAAATTAGTTACCAAAACAGACCCGGTGGAGAGCTGGTTTAAAAGGGCACCATGTTTGGGAGGTTTGGAAATGATGAACATCAGATCCTCCGGCGGATCATCGGCATCGGCCCCATTCAGGATTGGGGTGTCGATGACGATGTTCATTCCCTCCATCAGGACTATCTCTCGCAGATAAATCTCTGGCTTTTCATCATTAGATGGGATAATAACAATCGGAAAAAAATGGTTCTCTGAGAAATTGATCCCATCAGAGCACCTAAATGTGAACCTGTCTTCCACTGGCTCTGCTTTTTTGTGAATGCTCTGCACATAGTGGATATTCCCCTCCCTGATGTCTCTGATGGTAAAGGCGCTGATAGCTGTTCCTGACCTGGACTTTTCCGAGCCGGGGGCAGGTGATATATTTTCCACGTAGCCGGCACTGGGCTGGACAATGATGGTGCAAAGGATATCATCCGTTGGAGTGTCATCATCATCAGCGTTTAAGTGCTGAGTGCCAATGGAGTATTTCTCCCCTTCGATGACGCTAAATTGAATCCCGACCCCGACCTCGGGGGCCTGACTGTCAACAGGAAGGACAGTGACTCGAATATGAACCCCATTGACCCTATTTCCACCCACTGTCCAATCATCGGACATGTCTGTGAGAGTCAAGTTGAAGCCATCCTGCTTAGAGGAGAGACCTATCTCCCCACCGGTGTGTGCATACACAACCACACCATTAATAATATCAGCCTGAGTGAAACTTGCGGCAGGCACTCCTTTAACCAATATTTCCCCTAGTTCTGGAGGACCTTCCACAATAAAGGTCAGCAAGAGGTCATCCGTGTCGTCATCGTGGCCTTGAATGACATTTGTTGTGATTTCTGAAGCTCTGTTTTCCAGCACATCCATATGGGAGCCGATTGTCCCCGGAGGCAGCTTGACGGTTGGAGTTTCATCATCGACAGGCTTCACATTAACTTTGACCGTCACGGTTACAACATGAAACCCATCACTGACATCCAGCAAAAATTCATCGCTCAGCGTCTCCTCCCCACCATGACTGTACGAAGTCTTACCCCCTGAGATATCCTCGAGTCTGAAAACCCCTTTCTTCTCTAGATCAGTGAATGCCACCTGGACCTGGCCATATTTAGCGGGCTGACTCAGAGTGAACGTAATCTGTTTGCTCTCCGTGTCGAGGTCTGTGGCGTCTAGCTCCGCAATACTGATGATGTGAACTCCACGTTCAAACACAGAAAAGCCTGTGTTGGTAATCTGAGGGGGTTTGTTGTTGACAGGCTGGAGGTAAACAGTGAAGGCTCCTTCCACGCTGTTCCCAGCCGTGTCTTCGACAGTGTAACGAAACTGCACGACGTGGGCTGTAATTCCCAGCTCCACATCTGGGGGGCCGTAAGAGATCTTATGGTGGTTGATTTGAGCTTGTGTGAACTCGGTGACTTCGGTGTCTGGGCTGTCTGTCAGAATCAAAGATCCAAACGCAACTGGGTTATTTTCATCGATATCCATGGGGGGCTGGATAACTGTGTACTTAAGGTCGCGGTCCTCAGAGTCCAAATCAGTGTAGCGGAGAACTTCTTTGCTGAAGTGTGTGAGCTTGAACTCCTCGACGGTCATCTGCAGGGTGGTGCCAGGGAACAGTTCGGGTGGTATGTCATCAATGGGTAAAACCCGAATTATGAATGCACTCTCTCCTGACTCATTAGGGGGGTCGTTGTCATCCTGAACTGTGAACACAAACTGATCCAAGATGGTATCTGTGCTGTGGGGGCCTGTGTGCTTGTAAAACAACATCCCATCAGTGATATCTTTCTGAAGCCACTCTGTCACCTCCTTCTCATACACTTCCTCCTCGGCGTTGAATTTCCAAGAGGAGGGGTCCTCCGGGGCGTCGGACTGTCTTAAGAGAACTGCACCTATGGTAGAAAAAGGACTGATAACGGTGAATTTAATAGTTGAATCCTCAGAGTCGATATCGGCGGCGCTGAGCATGAGGGGAGAAATAGCCATCATCTGGTTTTTGAAAACAACCAGGCCGGTGTTGGCATTTATAATTGGCGGCTCGTCGTCAGTAGGAACGATTGTAATGGGAAACAGGAATTCTACTTCGTTTTTTCCATCCGACATCTTGAAAACAATGTTGTCGCTGTACGTGTCGCTCCCGTCGTGCTGGTACACCACGACCCCTGCCGCGAGGTCAGCAGGGGTGAAGAGTTTCCTGTGAGAGCCCAGCACCATGAGGTCCCCGTGGCGCAGACCATCCACCACTGTGACGGTGACCGTGTCCAGGTTGTCTTCGTCGCTGATCTCCAAGTTGTGCGCGCTGAAGAGGGGCCGAGACTGCCCCTCGTACAGCAGCTGGCCCGTGTTGCGCGTCACAACAGGGGCCAAAGAGTTCATGGGCTTCACGACTATCATAAAAGCAAAGGGGTCTGACACGGCCCCGTCTGTGTCCACCACCTCAAACTCCAGCTGGAAAATCCTCTCAGTGTCCGAGTCCAAGGCGGGGGGCTTGTAGGCGATTTTCAAATCGCGCAAGTCTCTCTGGTAAAATGAGGTGATGGGGAGGTTCCTGTCATCGGTGCTGACTATGTAGCCCTCCTCGTAAGATAAGGGAGAGGTGAGGTTGAAGATGAGCTCATCTGGGTCTGACTCAGTATCTTCAGCAGAGAGCATATCGGGCGTGAGGGCGGTCATGACGAACTGGCTGATCTCCATCATCATCATGGACACAAAGCTGGGTCTGGGGGAGGTGTTTGCTTCCCCGGCTTTGATGCGAATCATAAGATGGAAATACTCCTGTTTCACCAGGTTGCCTTCCTTATCATGCAGCTCCACGACCATGGGAACGTAGTCCCTATTGGGAGACTTGCGGTCGAACGTGTGTTCATAGCGGATGTCAGCTTTTGTGAATTCATCACAGTCCATCATTTTGGAAAGTTTCCCCCCGTCGATGAGTCGTCCATATCGGGGCAGAGGGCTGCCACCGGTCAGGGATGCCACCTCACATTTGTGAGAATCTCGACTATAAGTAAACTCTAAAATCTTCTTATCAATGGGGTTACTGGTGGCTTTGAGCCGATCAACGGTGAGAGGCATGTTTTTGGTGAGTAATTCTAGCTGAGTGAAAACCACTTCAACCTCCATCATGAAGGGGATAATAACGGTTTCGGCTTGCGCATCATACCTGAGCTGCAGCCTCACTCTGTCTTTAGCCGGACTCCTCGATCCGTAGTGCACGTACGTCACATCGTTGGGGCCGAAATCACACGGAAACTTTTTGGGAGAGAGATGCCCCGGTCTCTGTGAGAGCGGGTCGTTATCCAGCACGGTGATGCTGCAGCGGTCCCCCGGCCGCGTCTGAATCACCAGGTCGTTGATGGGATCGACGGGGACCGACCTCCCGAAAGGCACGCGTATCCCGCTGTTGGCCACCAAGATCGCGTCTTCCGACAGTTCGGATCTCAGCGCGTAAAACAGTCCAGAGCTGTCGGGCTGCGCGGAAACAATACCTGTTACTGCAAAACACAGGAGAAGTCCATGGAGCCACATAGCGACGGATTTGATCCGGGCGTGTTGAAAGGCAGATGTGTTTTCTCCCCCCCCCCCCCCCCCCCAAAAAAAAGATGAAGGTATAAATCAATAAAGTGTTGGGAGTCAGCTGGATGCGTGCTGGGCGGCGACTCCCGTGCGTCTCTGCGTCCGGACCCTCGACGCGCTCCTCGAGAGTAGCGCGCAGGAGTTTTAACTTCAGACACTTGAGAGCCTTGCGTACCGATGCTGCCGCCCATCTCTGCACCTATTGGAGGGTTTTTTAGGGTCCGTTACCTGCCAATGGGCAGTGCAGCTGACATTCACAGAGGGAGGAGAGGGGCGGGGACTAAAAGAACGCATCTCGTATGCTGTCGAGCAAGTGCTGAGTTTCTCCTGCCAGACAATCTTTACAAAATACAGGTAGAATGGAGAATAAAGTCAACATTACCCCACACATATAAATACAGCCTACTTTAGTAGTGCACATCTGTGCAGATATTCTCAGTGTACTTTGTGATGTGACCGCTTTGACCACAGATATATTCTTTGCGGCTGAATACACAACGGCATTTTATTTTTTACAGAATACAGGCTGGTCATATAGTAATTACTATAGTTATTATTTTATACACCCTCAGACAATGAAGCCTGGTGCATTTAAAAAAGTTCCTGCAGTATAATCATGGAATATTGTCATCTGTCATCTCTCCCTCTCCACTGTCGGATCCTGATTGTGGTATTCCTTGAACCACTGAAGTCTTAGGTTTTTGAAAGGTGTAGGGGGAAAATGACGTATTGATCGTATTCAATTAATTGCTAAAGTTTTCATTTGATATTATATGTTGGGGTGTATTCCTGACATATGGGGACACTTTCATTAATCTGGTTTTTGTTGGATTATTACGCCTCTCTTACGCTCCTTCTCATTGGCTCCGACCGGTGGCTCCCTGCAGGAATCTTTGTGGGAATAACTTAATAGAGGTACATTTGTGTCTTGCAGTTGTTAAATTGTGGAAGCAGTTGGATCTGGGGCTCTGAAACCTGTGTTTAAGCAAAAGAAAGTCACCTCTCATTGTGGTCTGGGCTGGAGAAAGAATGACTGTGTCCCCTGTCAGTGTAAACTATGATACAAAAAACTAAAATCCATACTCCATAAAAGTGAAACGTACCTTTGGCTGAAATGGAGCAAAAAGTGTTGCAAATAGTTTATTAATACAGTAAAGAAAAAGGCATACTAGACCTTAGTGGTCCCAAGGGTGAAATTGTACTGCAAGTTAGAGGATCTGTCGAGGCGAGTATTGAACCCATTTCTTTCCCTCTGAAAGGGATTTTTTGGTATCACGAATTTGACTACCGAGAAACATGATGTGCTTTTCAGGCCGTTTCATGAGTTAACCAAAGAGGGGCTGAGCATCTGCACTATTCGTGAACAGCAATGTACAACAATCACATAGGTGCAAATCTCTCTTCTACAGGAAACTGGTTACACGTTTTGCATTTTTAGGCTCCACGCTGTTCCCACAATTTTTACAGCCTCGAGTCTCACAAATCCTCCCCCATAAGCCTGATCGTTAGAAGTACGGCTTGTGACTGCATTTTGTTCCCCCGGCTCAACGCCACCCACGTTTAAAAATCCAGGTGATTAGAGGGTTTCCAGCGCCTTGTTATGTCAAAGTATGAGGCACCCCAAGCACTTCCAGCTGTCATACCTTTTCAGCTACAAAATTCTTCTGTTGACTTAAAGTAAGAGAAACAATTGATACACAAATGTTTTCACACAGATTGTACTGAGACTCCGATGGGAGGCAGAGGAAGTGATGCAGAACAAAGGAGGCCTGTAAAGATCCTTATTAAGTCAACAAATTAGAGAACATTTGAACCTGGTGACCATTTGTTTCCACCAACATCATTTTCCATAGGAAAAGATTTATGAATCCATTAGATGATGATGAGCAGTTTTGGTATGACATCATTTTGTGTGTCTCTATTTCTGTTCATCTAACTAATTGCCACTGGAACACTGGTTGCCCGCTTTCCAAAAAAAACTTTCAAAAAGTCCATCTTCAGACTCATGACATATTCATACCTCTCTGGATGTGGGGTTCCTTCAGCGCAGCAGCTGCCTCGCTGCGATAACGCTGCATGTGGAGATTCTGGGGTTTGAGCAAACATGGAAATGGGAGAGATTCAAGACTCTGGTCAGTAAATGAGGCAGCATGAGGTTTAACCAGCCATCAGGTTGCTGCTTTTGCAACATCTTGGCGTGCATACTTCCAATGACAAAAGGCATTCTCCTCTTATTATGAAAGAACACATTCTTCATTCATGAATATTCAGCAGCGAAGGGGCATACATCTTCTTTTTTTTGTGTTGGTATTGACTTGCCTCTGACTTGACAATATGCTTTTGCAAATGTCCAGCAGGGTCCATAATCAGCATATTGTACGAGGAGAAGGAGAAGAACAATATTGCAGCCGCTGTTCATTCATTCATAGTGCAAATAGGCCCAGAACACATTTTCTATTGCGAGCACACAGTGGTTTGTGCTGTGAGATTTGTTATTTTACATTGTTTTCTACAATCGAAGAAAATACACATTTTTACCTACTTGCCAATCAATGTTACATAGAAGACATTTGCAGCTAAAACCTTACAACACAATGTGTATATTAATGCTTCATGAATAACAAACCATTAAAGTTTGCAATGTTTTTCAGAAACCTGTAATACGAGTGTACCAGTACTTGAAAGTTAAGAACATTTTTACTGATAAAGCTGTACTTTTATGTGTATTGTGTACACCACGGGATCTGAATACCTCACTTCCTCCTGCGTGTACACATCACACAGCTGTTACTCTCATCCTTTCAAAGCTCGACATCAATGAAAAGAGCCAGCCACTCGTCACTCTGCGCTCCGTCCACGCCGTCTTCATCAGCGCACAGAGCCCGTTGCTCCTCGAGGAGGCCCACGCATGAAAGCGATGCTTTGACATGCAAAACCACCGTTTTTTGCGCCACTGCAGAACCAACCTGCAATTACGTTTCGTCTGGGCCAGCTGAAAGTGCAATGGGAATGGCACAGCAGTTGAACAGATTCCCATCTGGTCTCCATCTCTGTTGCCTTATTAAAGACGTGGACACACAAAAAGAAAAGAGAAAAAGAAGGAGTTCAGAGGACACACCATGAGCTCTTTTCCTCCAAACAGGCATCTCGGTGGCGGCGCTGCTCTGTAATCATCAGCACAACGGCCGTGTGAGTTTGCACTAAGTGCCATTCAGGTAAACGTTTACTGTGCTGTGAAACCGGCAGCATGTTACTGCGTTTACACTACAGATGCTCAGTGCTCCTGAAGGCTTTTGGCCTTCAGTTAGAGGAACAAGGTTTTCATTTAGAATTAGAGGGGAATTGGGTAAATATCTGTTGTTTCGGGATCTGTTTCTACAATAATTGCCCTGATCAATGCGAGGCTAGACAGGCTTTCAGTGGACCACTTTGCCATCCACTTTACTTTTTTTGAAACCATGGTTGGACTTTTACGGTAACAGCACAAACCTCTACGTGGAACCGTCGGTATTAATAACTTGTTGACAGCTCACATTTAAATGTTTTGCTGGCCGTTTGGCTTTTGGGGACGCGCACCTTGACAGGACAAATACTCTCTCTGTTTCCTGATATTTCCAAGAAGTTATGAGTTTAATAAGGAACAGGCCTGCCACACTCCATCACGCATCAGACGAAGCCGCCAGCCCCGGAGGCAGTTTGAAGTGGTAGTTGTCTGCGCTCCGTGTGGGAAACCATTTGCTGTCGGAACCTTCGCAGTTGTTGTTGCTGTGAACTGGAAATATTGGCCCGTTGATGAAGAGGAGAACAGAACGTTGAAGACTTAAAACCAATGAAACATTTCACAGCCCATTTTCAAAAACATCAATTTTAATTGTTTTTCTATTTTTAAAACAAGCGGTTTTTGGAGCGTTGAAACAGATGAGAATACAAGACCTCCTAGAGAAGAACATTGAACCGGGTTCGAGTCCCGGCTGCAAGTCGAAGTGTCCCTGAGCAAGACACCTAACCCCTAATTGCTCCCCGGGCAAAAATGTAAAAGCCAGGGGTTTAAAGTGTAATGTAAAGTCGCTTTGGATAAAAAGCGTCAGCTAAATGACCTGTAAGGTAATGTAATGTAAAATAACAATTTTTTTTTTTAATTTTATTATTATTATTTTTTAGTACTCGCTGCACAGAAAGTTACACAAAAAACGATTTAGTCAGTAAAGTATCAGATTGATAGAGTCTTAAAAGTTAACAAGAGAAGTTTTAGTCATGTTACAAAAATGAATAAACTAAATAACAACTAAATAATTATTTTTGATAGGCTACTGCCCCCTGGTGGTAAAGAGCAGCAGCAGCATTCCAGGAATAAGCTCACGGTTCAAGTATGAAACGTTTATCATTTTTTTAGTAAAGTTCTTTTTACAGGGATGTTTTTCTACTGATTACAAACATGGCTTTTAAATTAAAGTTGTTGCAACGACACAGGGAGCCACAAACAGTAACAGGGACTTTTCCACATAGCGTATGTGAGATTAGGAGAAAGACACACTGTAGAAAGTCAACGGAGATCCACATTCAATCTAAAAGCCAAATTCAGACACGATTTCCACCCTGACATTTCATGCACCAGTTTGCTCTCTTCGTTTTGTCCAAATTCCTGAGAAGAAAAGAGAACAAAAGGGGGAAAGTCTCTGGGCCTAATAAAGTTCCAGCCGTCACGTACTGACAACCAGAACAGAAGGTTAACAGTTCATACAATATTTTACTTTACGCCAACTCTGTTCTTTCCTCAGTTTAAATGAGCGGTTTCCAGTCGACTAACACACACACACACACGCGCATACTCACACACCAGCCTGATCTCCAAAACCTGTTCGTAAAAATGTATACGAAAATCTTGAACATACAAATTCGTAATGATACATGATGACGTATGATAAATACGGACTGCAACTGATGTCACCCTATTCAAAGTGAATGGGGACCTGCACCCCGTAAACACACTTCGTGAAGTCTAACGATGTAAAATTAACATGTTATGATTGCATTTTTAACGAGAAATCAATGTTAACTTGTAAGAATAGAATACTAACCCTAACCCCCTCAGAAAATCCAACATGGCGGAGAGACGTTCACTCAAGAATCCGACATGGTCCGCCATGTTGTTCACTCAAGGGGCGTGGTTAACCACCGCCAGTTCGTATGTATTGTTACGAATTTGTATGTTCAAGATTTTCGTATACATTTTTACGAACAGGTTTTGGAGATCAGGTATCGGAGATCACGTTGCACACACATGCTCACGCACATCAGGGAACCAGTTTGATACTGGTGACGGAACGGACGGTGCTCAGCAGAAACTTTAATTCCATCTTATCACATTAGAGTTTACTGTGACAAAAAGAGAAAGTGGCACCATGAATATCCTCAGCAGTGTGCGAGGAGGTAAAAGATCCATTAAATGAGAAGTTTACCTTATACAATACACCTTCAAACCGGTCTTTGAGAATACATTTATATGTGTTGGGTAGATTTAAGCAAACCTAAAACGAATAGTTTAAGAATGGCCAGAGCTGCCTAACCGACAGAAGCACCATCGTCCTGCGCTTTGAGGTTTTTGTCCATCCTGCATTGTACTTGTTTTAAGTTGGTTGATTCGGAAGAGACAGATTTAAAAAATAATTGTGAAAATTGAAGCCGCAGAGGGAAAGATATTCTGACTTTTCGGTCTCCATATGAAGACTGACACTCAATTATGTCCAACATTAGAGCCTCTAAAAGCCAATTTTCTTGAAAGCCCACCGCTCCAATTTCTATCAGACTCTCTTTCAAATATTTAACTCACGCGTCCAAGCCGAGGGATCCTTGCTGACACCATCAGATTTTCTTCTCAGACTCCACAGAGCTACCAACAGAACCACAGAAGGACTAATACGACTGACTCCCATTGGAGGAACACATTATCCTCGGATGTAAATTCACCTCTTATTTCATGGCTCTATTGAGAGTCAAATTGTCAAGACCCCATTGCCTTTTGGACATAAAATGAATCGTTCCTTTTTGTATCTCTTCTAGTTTTTGTAAGAGTACGGACCCGGTTTCTGTTGAGGAACACTATTCCCCCTATAAATGATCATGCCATAACCAGCATTGAGATGATGTATGACAATGTTGTAAATATGTTTTGTTAAAATTAGCTGGCAAATGTATCCGTCATGTTAGAGTTGCATGCATTGATACGTGCATCAAGTTTTCAACTTCAAAAGACTCTCAAAAGCATTTGAAAGTCGCCCAACTAAACCATTTGTCTCCGTTGACTCAAGTGGTCTCCTGAATCTACTGAGGCAGCACCAGAGCTAATCTTCTATAATCCTCTCGTTCTTCGTATATCTCCTCTCTCTGCACCAACTTTGAGTACCAATGTGTTTAAAGGGTTTGTGGGAGGGTTAATAAGCCACTCGGAGAGTGTGTTCTGAGGACACAACGGCCACAGGCCGAGTTTTGGTCGGTCAGAACCAAGAGAGAAAATTTAGTGTAAACATATAGTGTGAGAGGCTTCACAAATACTTTCTATCTCTGTCCCGTCTTGTTTTGTTTTTAGCCATTCTTCCCGTGTGGATTCATGAGGCCGTTTTGGTCGTCTGCCTCTTTGGTTTGGACTAAATAACTCATCAAATGTTGGATTTTTTTCTTTTTTGGTGAAATCTGTTTGCCTTAGAAATTTGAAACACGCTTTAGGGCCACTTGGGTCAACATTTGTTTATTACCAAATACTTGCATAACCTTTGTCTTTCCCATTGCCATGGCTGTACTTTGTGTTCTGAGCTAATTATAAAAAAAATACACCTGATGAACAATCATGTCTGAATTGTGGAATATACCACTGTTTATTGTTAAATGCATTATAATATGTATATAATCTAAATAGATTACAATAATAGGTAATTTAAGCGAAAGCCTGTACATGCGGCATCTGTACAATGTATATAATAATTATATGTATAATATAAAATTGAGAGATGCGCTAAAATACTCCCTTATAGCCACAATGTTTATCTCACTGGAGCTTGAAGAATTTATTATATTTCAGAGGCAGATCTAAGAAGAAGAATCATCCTATTGCCGAAGTTATGCCGAGTGTTTATTACTGAATTGTAGCATATCTAAATATGCTGGATGCTTAAATATCTACAATAAACCAAGACTAACAAGTAGACGTTCTGCAAAGGAAGATATAGATGAAGATAAATCACTGTGTGTGCTTCCAAAAGTTTTCCATCCAGCTGCCGTACTCATTTCCAAACAGAAGGGGGCAGAATAAGGTCATTCATATAATTAAATCATATTGCCCCCCCCCCCACCCCCCAGGTTCCACCTGGCTGTGTGCAGGTGGGGATTGAGGTTCCGGCTCATTTGCCCCCCCACACACACACCCGCATACACGTGTGTACTGCATGTTTTTGACTGACAGATGTGTGAGGTTGGCTTGAATCTGAACTGGATGTGCGGTGAGATGGTTGTGTGTTTCTCTGTCTTACTGATCTGCGGCGGCTGGTTGTATCCGCTCTGTGTCTGTGGAGGAGCACAAGGGCCCCGTTTCTTCATCCTGCTTCCTGTTTGCCTGCACGTCAGCCATGTTTAAAACTAAGACCTTCAAACCATTCACTGACTGGACCAACTTCGATTACAGGTCAAATCAATCAAAAGTTTGCTCTTAGAACCACAACTCAAGTGGATTTTTTAACAGAAGATTTCGCACTGCAAATTTTATAGCTTAACTGTAGAACGTTGTGAAGCTACTTGTTCATGCGTCTGGCTGAATAAGTATTAGAACATGAGCAAGAGGGGGAAACATCTGCCGGAGGGTTTGAGAGACGTGGAGGACAGGCCTGCCCACGCTCAGAGGCTCAGTTCAGTGCAACCCAATTAACCCGCTACTAAACACTTTGTTTCCTCCAAATCAGATGCGCGCACACATCCCCACCTCCCTTTCTGTTTGCGTTACCTCATTTCAACTGAAGACTCCCACAGTTTTTTTTTAGCCGGATGCTCGGCCCGACCATGATGCAGCATCCGCCTGCAGGATCCGTCCCACAGCAGAGTCAATAGACTGCTTTTCATCATTACGCTCCCTGTGGGCCTCGATGGACTTGCAGACACCTGGAATGGTTGTGCGTGGGATGCAGTGGTGATGGCAGATAAAATAAAAAGAAATTTCTCTTGTGTGAGTCCCAGTCAGGACGACTTCATTTGGGCAACTGTGAGCAGTGCTTCCCCCGAAGTATCTTTCTACCTCGTTGGTTGCAAACATGAAAGATTCAGCACCAATTATGCTTAAGTGTGCAATTTTAATTTCATGCCTAAAAGGACGCAGAATCAGATAAAACGACCAGATTTCTTCTTTTAATTACATTTTGTTCTTGTGCCCAAGAGTAGGTTAAAAAAAAGAAAAAACACCAAGTTTTAATTTAACTAGGGCACACAGTGGTTATAGATATCTGCAATATGTTGTTATCAATTGCAACAATTAAAATGTTTTAGGTCAACACTAAATCCGGTGTATCACATTTGCTGGGGCTCCGTGTGGTCTTTTCCTATTTCAGGAGGAGGTTTCTGCTGAACGTACCCAGCAGGGACTTTGATTAAAATAAATGAGAAAATCCATCTGGAAAGGCCCTCCAGTACACCCATCCCCCTATCTGGGTCTCCATCTTAATGGATGGGGAGGCACAACGGTGTGCTATCTCTTGTGCATTACAGCGTGAAAGTAACATTATTCTCTCTAGCCTTTTAGTCTTTTAAAAAAGTATGGTTTCCCAGGCTGGAGAACGGAACAGATTCTGAAACAAATGAATTGGAACCTTCTCTGAAAAACTGATTAATGTCCAGTGGATAATTAATACTGTTCCCTTGTTAATCAGTCAGAGAAACAATAAAGCATATTTTCGAATAAAACACTGGTCCGCTCATTAGTCAGGATTTTGTTTTGGATGAGAGTAATTCTAATATAAAATTAAGGTATTATTTCAGGTCGTGGGAAAGGAGAAAACACATGACCCACAATTGCAATTAAACAGTGAATTTATTTCCACATCATAACTGATGTTTTGGTTATGTGGGATGAATAACTATATAGCCATTGGGACACATTCTGGAGCCTCCACATTTATATTATAGCTGTTGGGATGCCGGCCTTGTTTATTCACCACCTGCTGCTCAGCGCCTAATTAAGTTAGCAGTGCATATTAAATAGTTTTAATACTCAATAGTCTTTTTATATTTATTCTGTGACGAGTCATAACACATGGCTTGAAATACACAGACAAAGCATTGGGGGAGTACAAACTGACAGAGGGCAGCAAAGATCCACAAGGCAGCACTGAGTGACAGAAGTAAATGTTGCTTGAGTTATGGAAGGAGCTGCTTCACCAAACAAGTCGAGTACAGAACCATGATGAGAGTTTATTCATCTTGTGTTTGAGGAGTACTGACTGAATAGCCTCAATAATGTTGTTTATCAAAAATATTTAAAGAGATTGAATTTACCTGCACATCAACAGCCACGATGGTCCCTAAGAGCATGTATTTTGCCATCACCTCAGGACCGATAAAGACAACAGTAAATATTGCAATGCAGTCATGTTGTGTTGTCAGCTGTACTGATTTGGTGTCATTTACAAAAGGTACAAAAGTTGAATCAGTTGTTGATTTTACCTAAATCCTTTCCATGGTGCATCTGCTGCGTTTGTTTATATTAATGACAGAGTGCCTGTGGAAACTCTGGATGTCACGCCAATCTTTTTAATTCAATTACACAAACTGAAATAGATGACTGAGAATAAAGAAGCAGGTTGCATGCAATTGTGTGTGTGCATTTCATCTTCCAAGTTTAAATATACATATTCTCTTGTGAGTCACCATCAGTTGTGGGCCAGAAGATAAAACACGCCGAGGTGTTTCCTGGGTCTCGAGCGTTATGCGATCCTGCCGGGTGAGTCACTTTGTCGTCAACTAGGAGCATCAGTCTCCTCCCACTCGGTCTCTGGGAATGATGCGCAGCTCTGAGCCATGCTTAAGAAAAACATTGCCTGCAACACAGAATGGAGCGCCATAAAAAGTTCAGTTTATAGCCGCTGTTCTTCACAAAGGGAGCTTTTTACTGGCAGTGAAGCTGATGCAGTAAAAAATAAAATCTCAAATCATCAACTTTTCTAACTGTTACAGGACATTAACCCTAATATGAAGATAAAATACAGTAATGCAACTAAAATGCTATGTTGCCTGCTCTCTGCAGTGAACCCAGTCATCTACTATACACAGCTATTCTTGATTCACAAGGGGAATGTTAAATCAAGTGAATTCTGACTAAACGGCTCGGTGTACGTAGTTCGCCTCCAGTAAGAAGTCTTTAAAAAAGAAATGTAACATTAACCACTCGGTCTCATGAGGCACTGCATCCATACTCATGAATCTGTACACGAACACATGAATGTCAGTCTAATTAGGATTGTTTAAGTAACTCAAGTTTATCCAACACCAATGTGAATAAATAAATGTGGCTGGACAATTAAGCAGGCCCGCGGTTGGTCGCATTATGCTGCAATATTACTTCACCCTCAGGTTAGGGACGGATTAAGTGAAGTTGCTCTACAAATAAACATTTTAAAAACATCCTTCACAGGACAGCATCATGTTCTTCTTCTGAATATTTCTCCTGTGTCAGTGATTGATTTCTGTCCTTTACTTAAATCACTGACCACTGCTCGACATCTATGGCCTTTTTACATTCTACCCTTCAAATCGGATTTAAATAAGATCATAATAGCTGTGACTTGATTTTTTTAATTACCTCTAGGGGTTACTTTTCTTTGCCCTCTTTCTACAACCGCCCACATAAGTCACTGCTACTGAGAGCTTTATCAAATGAATCTTTAATCTCTACCAAAGAGCCTTATGAAACATGCTTTACTGTCGTTCTGCTTGGAAGGCAGCACATTGAAAAAGCCTTAAAAAGAGCCCCGAGGTTGATTATGTGTCCATGAATCTCAAAATGCTAAAACGAAAGGAAAATCACCATATATATATATATATATATATATATATATATATATATATATATATATATGGGCTTTTGAGGAGATAAATATATATATAAAATACATTATGTGGAAAGCATTCAATGACTCACCTGCTGTCTGAGCAGGGTTAATTCCTATTCCATCTGTGGGCAAACATGGAAGAAAAAGACAACCGTTTAGAACTGAGATATTGTCAGGCAGACGACATTAGTATATAAATGGAAAATTACACCGTCCCAGTTTATGCACAATGGTACTGCAACGGGAAAAACAAATAAAACAAATCAACGTGTGCCTCAGCAGCAGGCAGCAGACCAGCGATTCATTCTGCACTGATAAATCAAAAATTCTAATTTGACCTAGATGACATTACATTTTCAACACAAATCCCATCTCAATCTTATTTGGCAACAGTGTTCCGTCCAACTATTCCCACCGCACCCTGAACATGTCACCAGTCTGTGAGAAAGTACGTCGTGCGGATTTCCTCTGAATTTCAGTTTCTCAACTGCCAAACACTGTCGGCAGCAGCGCTGAACAAGGAGCACAATGAGGTTTGAGGAGGCGCTGCCTGCTTTAATTGGTGGGAAGGGTTAGGGTGTCTGATAGAGCTGAAGGAAGACGCGGCTGGACTTTACAGCAGAATGCTGATGAGGATTTCAGGGAGCATTTAAACCGTATTTCCCAAACGGAAAGAGGGCAAGGGACAAGAAATAATTTATTCTATTTTATTATTAAGTATGATATTATTATTGTTAACTCTTTTCACTTAAAGCATTCTACAATGTGTTATTTATATTACAAGTTTCTTTTTAGCCAAGGTACTCTAAATCAATTTTAAAATCAATATCTTGTGTAACAATATTGATTTAATGGGGTCATTATAGAAAAATACTGACTGACGGCGGGAGCAGGACTGATTTGAACACATTTTAGCACATTAAGCGTCACACTGCCGCTAAAAGCTTTACTTGGTTAGAGCTCTTTAAAATCCTCACAGCAGAAACTTTTTCAAAAGGTACCTGTTCAAACACACGGTTTCTCAGTAATGAGAAGATAAGATCCACAACAACAGTCCAGCTGATAAACGTGTCCCTTTTGCCGACGAGAGTAAACTTTCCATCTAAACTCACCATTTGTTATTATTGCGCTGGTTGCTGATGGCACTTTGAACTGGAAAAAAGAAAAACCATTAGTGGAATTCACAACATTGACATTTGGGAAACTTCAGCAGCATTCAAATATTTTAAATGTTAAAATCCAATTTCCAAATGTGAATGAAGAAAATCTTTTTCATTGAGTAACGGGCACCGAGGCGCCAATTCTTTTGCCCGAAAACTTCAAACCTGGAGCATGTGCACGGACACACACACACACACACACACACACACACACACACACACACACACACACACACACACACACACACACACACACACACACACACACACACACAGGGGAAAAGATAGCCACGCTTCAATTTCTGGAATAAAATCACTCAGCATGGTCACAATGTGTGTCCTAATGTGGGCTGGTGAGATTTGCAGTGAAGGGTTAGACGGGGCAATGTGTCACCATGGCGATAAGGCTGGCTAAACGCTGCTCTCCAAACTACTGGCCAGGTAGCTCATGCAGCACACATGAAATACAGTTTAGATCACGAGTGAAGGGTTGTTGAACTCTTCTTCTCGTAGCATAAAATGTGACAATAAAATTATGTTTGAATCACAAACGGTTGTTAATTATTAAACACAATAAATTTACATTTTCACTTATGTCTTTCAGGAACATTGTTCCAACACGAAAGCCTCTGCTATCGTGATGAATGAAAGCACCATTTGGAGTTACAAGTATAAACTTGTAACTGGCTGGAAGGACACTTCCAAAAGACACTTTGTGAACATTTGACAAAACAGCACCTCTATTCTGATTTGGATTTAAACGGACTATTCTACAACAGAGACAAACACTGTACCAGCGGCACACGAGCGCTGGCAGTCTGCCGTCAGCCACTGCTGTGTGTGTGTGTGTGTGTGTGTGTGTGTGTGTGTGTGTGTGTGTGTGTGTGTGTGTGTGTGTGTGTGTGTGTGTGTGTGTGTGTGTGCTTGTGTGTGTGTGTGTGTGTGTGTGTGTGTGTGTGTGTGTGTGTGTGTCACTCACTCACTCACACACACACACACAGGGGCAATTACAGGACCTGTATTGATGTACACGCAGGCAAATCTGTTCGACCAGACGGCCGGACACCGAAACGTATCACGGTTTAAGTTAGGAAAGTAAAGGTTTCGTATACATGCTGACGCCAGATTTTACGAACAAAAAAATGCGGCTTCTCATGAAGAAAAATGAAAGCCTGGTCAATACTAATATACTAGTAATACAAAAACTAGTAGTCGTCTATCTGCTATATTGTTCCTCACATTAGAATAGACATGAACAAACTTTCTTACTGAATATGCATGTTGATAAAATCAGTTAATAGAAAATGTATGTATGTAGGTTTATATGCAATGACTAATACATATTAGCATATACAACATATCTCCAAATTGGACACTAAAGCTAAATTAAATGCAGTCACACATGAAAACTACATCACAGACTGAAACAGTTCATACTGTATCCGGTTTACGTAGCACCCCCTGTTGATGACTATATACATATTATTAAATTAGCAAACAGCAAGCTTACCTCCTCAGCGGCAAACTTCAAAACTGCCGTGAACGGTGTGCTTTCAGGAACACTTAATCTGCAACAAAACAATGCATCAAACAGGATATATTAAAAACACAGCAATTACATCACCATTTAATTTGTGAAACATGATCGATATCATCTCTCAAACATTTGCCCTGAGCTTAGATCAACAGGTAGCCTGACCGTTTAATTGCTGTGGAGCGAGTCACTTACACACCGTAAGAGCTGCAAAAGTGCGATTCTGTATCTCACCGTTTATTGTCACTTCACAGAGGAGGAAAACGCATCTCCCAACTCAACGGACTGCAACATGAACTTAACTTTTGTCAGAAGATATGAGACCATTTATGGCATGAGTAGTTATGCGTTTTTCAGGGGGGACAAAAGTAGCTGAGGTCATGCGGTGCAAAATGTATTGATACTCCGTACAGCAGCAAGGTGCTGAGAGAGGAACAAACTAGAAGTAGAAGCTTCACCAGTATGACAGAGAGTGAAAGCTTGTCTCATTGATGTGACCACCAGGTTGCCGTAACAGGGCTGATGCGTTTAAATGTGACCGGTGATTTTGAAAAGAAGATGCATGGATTAATGTGTGTCTGTGAAGTTCCCTCTTCTGCCAGGATTTATGCAATACCTTTTTTCCTGTCATTATTATCACTCTATTCGTGCTCACACATGAACACCGGCAACAAGAATAGACTTCCTGTCAACACTTGCTAGAATATTCTGCGTGGCCTGCGTGTATTGCTAGAACATATTCTTAAGTATTCAAATTAGAGAATTCAATGTCAAGCACTGATGGGAAATTGGACCATGTATTACACCGGAAAAAATGTCTGGAAGGAAAAGAAAGACGCTAAAAGTACAGTTTTTACTAGGGGTGTAACGATTCATTTTAACAACGATTCGATTCGCGATTCATGGTTGCCGATTCGATTCATGGACGATCTGGGTTAATTTAGAACGATTCAATTCGATTCGATTCAGTGACTTGAAATCGATTCAGTAACTTTACTGGACAGTGCAGGCAAAGTTTCCGAGATCCCTGTTGTTTCTTGTAAGGAAATCAGGTTTAAATTAAGTATGGATATTATAAACAAGCAAACAACAATTAATGGCAAATGTATTAACCTTTTATTTGAATCAAGTGCAATTTTCAATGTAAACATTACACAATAATTACAAAATGTTTGGATCAATTCACAGAACCCCGGATTTTCAACAACGTTGTAGGGTCGCATGTCTTTACAGATAAACTTGGCAATTGTTACTGTGATGTTGAGTTTGGTGCTGGCGAGGCCTGAGGTGTCTGCAGAGCTGGAGTTACCTGCTGCTGCTCCAGCGGTTTAGAGTTATTTAGAGTTAAAATAATAGTTTCTCCTGAATCACACATTGTTGAAGACTATTAGCACTCAACTACAAAAATCTTTTATTCCAACACTGATCGCCCACCCAAAAAAATAACAAAAGGTAGAAGACAGAGGAGTGCATTGCTGCAAAAAAAACCATCTCTTCCAACTGAATAGGACCTCATCATCCCAGGATCATCATACACACTCTTCTAACCAGCTGTGACTTGAAACAAGATTACCTGATCTCGATGCAACACAATGCAAAAGGTTATTTAAAAAAAACGTTTTGCAGAGTTTGACTTTAAATGGCGTTGTCAGATGAATCTACTGAATGGGACATTTTGTGTGACACTTAAATCGCATACATGACGTAGGACGTGGAGCATGAACAAAACGTTGTGACGTCACAAATCGGAAGCATGACACATGTGTGACGCGGAGACCTGAAGCCTGCAGAACACACGCACTGAAAATGTCTGTCTTAAAGAGAATTATTGTGTCCAGAGGTAACATGTTTGGAATCAATAATATTCCCCATCCATGTTTGAGATGGGCAGACCTGGACAGATACATTGCATCGCTCTCTAGGGTTTTACCACTGTTAACCTAGCTGTTGGGCTCAGAACCAGCATGTAAATCAGCTTTACACCAACATGTGTTCAGTGACCACGTTCTCTGAAGCTAGAGGTGAGGACACCAGCGTGACACACCGATATCTGCAGCAGCAGTTACGCGTAAACGTAAAATGAAACAGTAAAAAGACTGAAATGCAAGTGGATGCAATACGTTAAAAGATGAGCTGTACTCACACTTTGTATGGAAGCCGGGGGTCCGACGTCAGTGTGATTTTAAACGTTACTTTAGACCTAATGCAGGGGACGGAAATGTCGTTATTAGCGCCGTCATGTTGGCTAACGAATATGAAATGGATTCAGCGAAAGAAATAATCAGAAAAAGGACAGAAACTGACATTTTCGGGGCGAGGCGACTCCGTCTTCAAGCTGTTTATACACACCCGGAAGTCACAAGGACCCTTTGGTACACGTCATCCATTTAGTTTGGTTTTTGACACATATCTGATTTTTTAAAATTATTTTCAACGTTACATACACTTTCTTTTTGATACGGTGGTATTTGGTCGATATCCTGCAAGTATTCTAAAAGCATGCAAGGTATTAATCATCATTTTTACTGTCAGGCAATATAGCGAACGACTAAGAGTTGCCGTAAATGACGACATAAGGCGCACTGACATGTTCTTCGGGAGAGAATTCAGGGATTTGGTCCAAAGTATACTTGAGCAAAAGAATTCAGGACAGCAAACTTGAAACTAGCAGCCAATACAAACTCGCATCCTATTAAATAACCTCCCCTACTTAGTATGTAATTAACCACTAAATGGAAAATAAGAATGGGACAATACAGTGCATGCAGCTAGTTCACAATTATAGAATGATAAAAAGACATAAATAAAATATATAAATATCTAATTCTATTCTATTTCATATGGACTCCTGGGTCTGGAAATGAAATAAAATAAAATGTAAAATGTATTCATATCATTAAATCAGTAACCATTCAAATCCGGGTCGTTTTCATGGTAATTCCCTCCCTCACTAGTTTATCAGGTCGGTGGCATTACATGTTTTAATGTTAACCTGTAAGTTAAATATTGGTATACCATGATACATGACTCACATTTCTTTTTTCTCTTTTTGGTTTTGTATAATTGTAAACTTCCATAAGAGAAAGCTGGTTTCTGTAGTAAAGTATTAACTATCTGCATGCTTTGCTATACTATTTTTTACAAAATTTCAGAAGTCTATCCTGCTTACATGGGAATGCGATGTTTTATTTTGGACAAAATAATCCAATTGTTGAGTAGTGATATTACTTAACATCCGTATGAATTCCAAAGTTCCCCTTCCATTTTGAGGACGTTGTGCACAATAAGGCAAATAGGCATCCAGAACCAAATATTTTAACCCAGTAAAAGCCGCAGCATTTCGCCATCCAATCAGTGTCATTTCTAGAAGCGCCATATTCAATAACGTGTAAAAATCATGAGTATCCCTTGTCAAGCTGTTCACTGCTCTCATCAATGCAAACAGATACTACCTGTACAAAGCAGATTGGTTCAGTTGTATTTTGAGTTGGAAGGATTTACCCTCGGAGTCCTGCAGACTGTACAGATCTCTTTTCAAGTCTAATCAGCACGCACTTCTCTGGGTGGTTCTTGTATTGCTCATATGATAAAAATTCTCATCAGCTTTAGTCCGATCAATTTCTTAGTTCCGCGTGATCCTCTCTTTTCTGCTGAGGCCGAAATAGAATTAGTATTTAAAATCCCATGCTGTATATGTTGTATTTCATTTATTATTGAGATATTTATTTTAACGAGATGATGAGGAGAACCCTGGATAAAAGGCCAAATGTTCGTCAGAAAAAGAAACTCTCAACTGTCTTTAAAGAACGAAACCGAACACAACAATTGGCTGAGGACGTCTCAAAGGTCATCGAAATCAGTGGATGGTCAGAGAAGGTTCAAGAAAACCACTATGACAGAAGTCCCGGGTCATGAGAACAACAAAGCCACTTCTGTTCACTAAAGAAGACGGTGAGATGCACATTAGACCCCTCTCCAAGCCCGTGGGCGGGGCTTTTAGCTTGGATTTTGAAATCATGTATTCCTCAAAAAATAAGACAAATTGTGCAGGGAACTTTCTCACTCATGGTGCCGAAAGAGAGAGAGAGAGAGAGAGAGAGAGAGAGAGAGAGAGAGAGAGAGAGAGAGAAAGAGAGAGAGAGAGGGAGAGAAAATTGGAGCTGACTTGTTACGATGACTCTGAGTTACGGTGCAGACTCTCTGGCACACGCCTCTGGAATTTCAGTGGTGGGTTTTCCCTCGGTGCGAAGTACAAATGCAGAGGAAGCTGTGGCGCTGAAAAAAAGAACCAAAGGTACACTGACTTTACAGATGGAGGAAAAACAGAATGTGGCTTCTGGGGCATGTACACTAATGAGAAAATACATCTTGAAGAAGGGTCTAGATGTTGAATATATCAAATGCAGATACAATCCTTTCACAGTTGGCATGAAAATGAATAATTTATTCAGCATTTTTAGGACACGGAAAAATATTTCAATCGAGGCAAACTGAAGTTTCATGCGTCATCTTGGTCTCCTTGATCATAGAGTGAATTACATAATCAGTTTACACACAAAAATGTATTGTCTGAATCCATCATTGTGGTAAAGAAATATTTGCTATGAAGCAGGAAGGGTTGACCCTGATGTAATAGTTCATAGTTGTTCATTATCCTCTTGAAAGAGTGCGTTCAAAATGCAAGATGTAATGACGGCAGTCAGTGGATTGAGGAGCTCCTGCTGAAAGAGCCTATTATCATATTATTATCTGTCATAGCAAAAGCAACGTAGAGAGAAAAAATTGGCAATTACCTGCGGTATAATAATAATTAATTCTAACATTGCTGTTAACATATGTGCACGCACGCACAGATGCACACACCTGCAATGAAGTAAGTGTAAGGTACCTAAATAATACATGTGCTTTTATATCATGCAACATCCATCTTTTTACTAGCCACCATCTGTATTATTTCTCTCTGATCAACAGAAGTATTGACAAAATGAAATACTCTCACCCTCAGGGAAACAGTAACAAACATCACGGTTACACAGGAAGAAAAAACAAAGCACCATTGGTAAGTAGAGAGCAATTAAATATACACACATCCGCAACACAACGGCTTGTGTTGGTTCAGACAAATGCGGTTCATAATTAATGCCCAAATAAGGAGCCCCCTAGCCTCTAGGTTAAGACCTTATTTAAAGCACAGGCTTAGCTTATCTTAACTGTATTTATTTTAGCACCTGGAACACTCAAGCAAAGGGTCATCAAGAGGGCAAACAATTTCACAATTCATTTTAGGAAGAGAATTCAGTGCCAGTCCTAAATATCTAGAACGTATATAAGAAGAAAAGCAAGCATTAGAATACTACTGACCAGTTTATACAGATACAGTATTTATTAACACATCTGACAATATTCCTTAGTGTTCATTTTTTTCTACTTTTACTTGTTGCCCCTGAGCCTCTTAGTCAATTTCTGTGTTTGGCTGAGTCTGTTTCAATAATGATTTGGGTGTGTGGAAAAAAAATATATTCCCAATGTTTGACATAATTAGGGTTTTGGTAGTTGAGTGATGTATTATTACACTGATGTATCATAATTGGGCACTTAACATTTCCAAACCATGGCGATCCACACTAAACAGATGAACATTACCAAAAGGTTTGTCCTCCAGTTATTATCAAACATGATGAAGAAACATCATCTGCAGTGCAACTGTTTCAATGAGACCTCAGGAGAAACCCCCCGAGTCACTCGTCTGATGTTGACTTAATTAACAGAATCTCCAGCATTCTAATATTCTAATTAAATTTGAGCTGAGGAATAAGTTGCCTGGGCTGTGTTGACAAAGACAAAGCATGATAAACAAATCCATGGCATGTTGTTTTAATGCAGTAAATAACTCCCTGGATAAACCACACTGGTCCATAGTGTGATAAATGTATTTAACCTGCCTGTTGTTGACGTATTCAGGAATCAAGTCATTATCCTGGTGGTACACTGAGCCCAAACACAATTTATTTCAGATGGCAGAGGCCAGTTACATGCACAGCCATTAACACTTATGTACGTATGTGTGCAGTCTCTGTGTCAAATACCAACCCATGTCTCACAGCAAAACATCTAATAGCTACGTTGTGGAACGTGGTATTCTCACGCTTTAACCCCAAAATCGTCACAATACTGTTTTATTTCCGCCCATTCATTTACATTGGCTCGCAACTACGTCACTAGAAACTAATAAACGGAAGGTCTTCTACATTCTCTGATAGAGGATTATGAAAATAATACACATATTTCTCGCTAGAAATGCCATCGAAATGCATACAAATGCTGATGCTTTCTTAAAATATTGTGTTTTTCACAGATAGTAGACCAACAGTCCGCCATTTTCTTTTTTTATCCGAGGGGAAGTTGATAGTCACGTGACCTAGTTGCAACTAAAACGTTGAATTGTCACGCTTTGTCCCCAAAAGCGTGACAATACCACGTTCCACAACGTAGCTATTACACGTTTTGCTGTGAGACTGGGTTGCAACCACACACGTCAGACAGATAGTGAGCATCAGCCTTTGTCCTTTGTTCCTCTTTTGCTAAAGTTCCTCAGCGGTTCGATGACACGGCTTTAGCAGATTTAGCACCACTCATCTTCCCTTGCTCTGTTTACCTTCACAAGTGTGCATACAATTAGTCATTTACCATTTTTCTGTCATACGTGTCCTTCTTTAGAGATCGGAATTTGACACACTGCTGGCAGTTAAACCAGCCTCCCATCACAGTTCAGCGTAATTAAGGCGCCTTTACCTGCGTTTGAATTATTCTGAAATTATCCAAAAGATTTATCTAAAAACTCTAGCAATGATCGTACCTAAACAGCTATGTGTTATGTGTACTAGACGTTTGTGTAGCTGGCTGCCCCTCTCCAATTAGGCCAATTCTTCTTCCAACTCTTGGCTTTGGTGGTTGCAGAGAAGTGAAGAAAAGTTTGTCTGTAACGTCAGAATATCCAGCATCCATCAGCAAAAACTGAACTGCCCCCTGCATGCGACATACTCAACTATTGATGGGTTGCATGTCCAGATTAAACCAAATAAAACCAATAAAGTTTCCAGCAATACACCCAGGCAGACTAGAACAGACAGACATTTGTTTTTGTGCTTACCGAACTCAGCAGATTCATTTGAGAGTGCTGAACTCTCTTTAAAGAACTGAGATTCAAATTGGATGAATGAATAATAGACTCCATGTGGAATAATATAGGTTTGTTGCAGCATAAAAACACAAGACCTCTGACAAGGCAATACAGACCGGGTTTTACTTAGTAAGAATCCTTTAGGTTTCAGAGACATCTCGAAATGAATTTCTATGATAAGACATTCAGTAAAGACTACTGCAAATGTGGGAACGTGGACTTACTTATTTTTTGCTTTACA